CGTATGGCCTGAAGACGCAACAGCATCCACTGATATCTCTGCTGCAGCACTCCTGCGTCAACATGAATGATGTGAGCAACAAGATCATCGGCATCTGCCAGCACCATGACAAGAGGTTGGCCTCAATGATTAACAAAGTCAACCATTGATTGATATATAAACTATGTCCTCAGCATACGCAATCATAGCATTGAGTATTTGCGTCCCGTGTTCCTCTATGTGCTGTGCACTCCACAAACGCTGCACGATGTCAAGCCGATCTGGACTTGCCTGCTCGGCCTGAGTAAGAGCCAGCCAGAGGCCAGAGCCCTGATGCAGGAGCTGTTGTCGTGGAGCAAGTTCAACAATGCCAGCACCTGTCTATCCACCAGCATCCTGGTGATCGAGGCCATCGATTACTTCCTGCAGCAGTCGGATCATGCCCAGTCCATCGATCTGTGCATCTACCAGGCTTGCCTGATCAAACAGCTGGCCAACTACGGCATTGATCCTCGTCCCAGTCTGCTGTGCTTGCTTCGCGTATTGCATGCGACTCGGGAGCATACGCGAGACCACTACCATGTGCTCTTGGTTTTGCTGGCGGAAGTGCTGCACGTCTTGTCCCCCTTCTACTTGGCCGACTTGCTGCGGATCATTGTCTTCGTGGTCGTGCAGGAGCGCTGTGGCCATGAATACATTCTGAACATGTGTCTGGATGGCATCATTCAGTGGATGTCTCAGACTGCATTCATACACGCCGAGGGGCTGGCTCTGGCTAACCAGATAGTGCAGCGTGTGCTCGACCTCCAACAGTCGGATGAGGGCGAGCGGATATCCACCAAGCAACTGAAGCCGGCCCACATGCGCAACTATCATCCGGACATAGCGATTGCATTTGATCTGGCCAATCTTGTGGAGTCGTTCGATGCCTCCGAGAATCAGGATGTTTTCGCCTTTGTCGACGCCCTGAATGTCAAGTCAAACACGGTCTTCTGCCAGCGCCTCCATCTCTTCTTGCGCGCCCTCTTTCTGTCCCGACAGCCGCCCGTTGACTGCTGGTTCAAGATCTACGAGGTGATTTTGCAGACCATTAAGGTAAACGAGGGCATCGCCTACGACTTCCTCATGACCTACATCTTCAAGCTGGCCCACGAGAACAATCCTGAGCTGCAACTGGAGTTGCTTCGAGGTCTGCCCCATTTTGCCGTATCCAAGGTGAGCTCTCAAATGAACATCACTTGAATCTTCCACTGAAACATGCCTCGTTTTGCGAAGGACAACGTGCCCATGATTCTGAACACCATTCGAAATCTGTCCACCGAGAATGGTACCTTCTGTGTGGACCTGTATCTGCGACTGTGGCGCGTGGAGTCGCGCACTTATCCCTTCCTGCTGAAGCAAGTGGCTCAACCGCTGCCGGAGGGCGATAAGCGCTGGGAGCTTCAAGTAGCCCGAACACATGCTATGCGGGAAATCTGCCAGGAAAAGTAGCCCACAAATTTAGACCGATCCTTTATCCTTTTTCTAATCCTATATCCATCTTTTGCAGGCCAACTTTGCATGGCTCGGAGCTGCTACCTCACCTTAGCAATACGTTAAACAGCTGCACCGATGAATCTGGGGATCTGGCTACATCTCTGGCGTTGGATGCTCTTTATGCATTGTGTGACAGCCACACTGTCAATATTGCTTCCACCTGGCACGCTCTGGGCAGCAAGTTTCGCGGCGAACAGCGTCCACAGACCCTTAGGTCTCTGTACCATTTCTTTGGCTTAGTTCCGTTGCTGCAGACACCCACACTGGAGTACGAGAAAGTTGCGGATGATGCCCTAGAGCAGCTGTGGCAGGCCATCAGTCGACCGGGAACAGATGCGGCACAGGTTCGCAATGCTCTGGCAGCCCTAAAGAGCTATGAGCCAGGAACAACGCTCAATCTGCGGCATATTCCGGCTCAGTTTCGTTTTGAGATTGTCGGAGGAGCAGTGGGAGGACTTAGTGGTCGAGAGGTGGTAGATCTGCAGGAAGAGACCGTGCCCGGCGAGGTATGGGTGCAGCTACTACAGAAGATTCGCCCGGAATGTGGAGATGCAGCAGCTGATCTGATTTCCCATCACATAAGCAACGAAATAAATGGCTTTCGGAGTGGAGTCTACCGCCTGCCCGAGGGCAAGCCGGAGCCACGCAAGCTGGTGGGTTTGTTCGCGACCAGTCCGCTCCGTGCAGTAACCAACTACATGGTGAGCCAGGCCCGCTTCGGAGACTACGTGTCAGAGCCCTATGCAGTGACCTTTGCCCTCAGGGCGCTGTCCAAGAAATTTCCCAAGCCGATACCACCGATCGATTGGAGCTGCCTGACGAGCTTCTTTCACCTATCCTTCGATGCGAGGAGATACTGCATCATGATAGCCAAGAATCAGGCGTCGAGCTCAGGCACAGCGAAGCGTTTGCTAGAGAACTTCCTGGTAGAATTCGAGCCTAATTGCTTCGAGGAGGATCTGCTGTTGCTCTTCTCACTGCTACCGGAGATCGCCAGCAACGTGGGCCTTCATATCATAAAGAACTTTGCCGAGAAAGTGGCTGTCTATTGCTTCAAAGAGTCACAGATAAACGACTTTGTCGAGGGTGAGTTTAAACTTTTTTTGGCTTGCTTTTTGTCCAGGCGATGACCTCGTATCATCTTGTTTGCAGGATGCCTTTTTGAAAAGTTTTTGGACAGCGTCAAGTACATTTTCACGGGAAAGTGCGACCTACCCGAAGTGTTGGATGTTTTCACACTGATTGTAGAGCGCTACATGGACTCGATGAATCTGGACTCGAGGCTGTTTGAGCGCTACACAGAGGTGGTGGCCGTTTTGCATCCGAATGCCATCGACGGGCTGACCACGCCCGCCAATTGGTGGGAGACGCCCATAGGCAAGCTAAAAAAGGCCACCATCATCCGATGCTATCTGGTGCTGTATAACGACAAGTTGCCCAACCCACTCAAGTGGCTGACGCCCATTATTGATGCCTACGAGAAGCGCACGGAGGAGCGCTCCTTCTTCTATCGCCACTTGGCTGCCACTCTGTATGCCTTTGGAAGCGATGAGCATGCCTGCAACTGGATCATGGAAATATTCCTGGAGATTCAGATGCTGCTGGCCGAGGCCTCCAACAAGGAGAAAGTTAACAGGGCACTCTATCTGCTGGACATCTTTGTTCTGGCCGTGGATGTGCTCTCCGGCTGTGCCGTGCTGCTGGGCAGTGTCGATGTGGTGGCCACAGACGATAAGCAGCGGCTCAACCTCTTTCCCGAGAGCTTGCAGTATCTGTGCGACCACATATTCTGGAAGGACCATGAAGCAAAGGTGAGTGAGAAAGACTCAAATATCTCCCACCATCTTAATCATTTTTGTGTCGACTTTCAGGTCTATGAATTCCTATTTAATCTATACAAGCACAGCTCCATTCCGTCGGACTATGCAGACGTATTCAAGGAGGCAATCATTTGTTCCCGGAACAAACCATACTTCGACCACAAAGGTGTCTGGACCAAATACGTAGGCCTGCGTAAATGAGCACGACGAACACACCGCATTCAACACTCCAACCCACGCCTAAAGTGCACTTACTGGTTAACGCTCACCGAATACCGTCAATGTTAGTCATCTTTTGATAGCAAACGCATTCTTTGTTATTTATATGTGTTTAAAGAACATTAAATGCATTTTTGCGCACAGTATTGGAATTTAAATGTTATCAGTGCGGCCAGGCCAAGGCAAATGGTTGAATGTTATCGCACAAAAATACCACACGACAGCTCGATAGTCGATAGTATCGATAGTCAAACTTGAATTCGTCAGTATATAAACGGCATATTTTTTAAATGAAACGATATATTTTAGTATATTTCTGAGGGTCGGACGGTATATTTAAACGATAAATCCACGGTCACACTGATATCAATATTTTTAATATATTTATTAAAAAAAATGCAGATAAATTAAAAAAGTCTAATTAAAACGTATTATCAGTGCGTGTCACGTGCTGCAATCCCGTTCGGCTGTGAAGCAACCTTGAAGCTATTATAGCACGGATACTGGGAGACTTGAGCAAAACGTAAACAATGGACGATATCAAGCTGGCGAAGGTATGTATGTTTATGGCTTACTCAACTTCAAGCAGTGTTGTTTGCTAAACAGTCATTGTAAGTTCGAGGACAGTAACATTGTCCAATCTTAATCCTGGACAAGAGTTGTGAGTCATGCAGCAATGCTTTTTTTGCTTCACCTTCTGCTCGGGCTATTCAAAATCGATGGTCAACCTGGGCGGGCATCAGGGGAAGGACCGGCACCGCACCAAGGGCTCTCTCCCTAATGCCGCAGGACACACGAATCAAGTCTATTAAAATATAGACTTCTTTAAAACATGCGCATGGGACGGGGATGGGAATGAATCCAGAATTCCGCCCCCTCCCGCTCTTTTCCACTGACACTGACACAATCAGGCGAGCCGAGGTTACTTTTTAGCCTTCACCCAAACATCTGAGATACGTTAACCCACAAGTTGAACCCTCTCTCAATTGGCTATTGACATTGGCAATTGAAATAGATTCAAAAGTGCACGCACCACTTTTACTACTCTCTTTAACGATATGTGATTCATAGGACGCTTACAAATTACATATAATATGTAAAGCCTAAAGAACCCACTCCTTAAAGAGTATGCAAGTATTTGCTTCGTAGCTTTTTCCAATAATCTTTCTCTCGCTCTCTTTTCATTGCATGAGAAAATTTCCCTGGCCACACTCTAACCATAGCATGTATTTAGGCGCGCGTCAATCACACTGGCAGCTTTTTAACCTCCTCCAAAGCCTTAACTACTCACTGCTTACAGGGTATGCAAGTATTTGCTTTGCGTTTTAGCTGCTCCCTTCCCATTGGCTGAGAAAATTTCCCTGGGCACAATTTTTCCCAACACCAAGCATAGCATGCATTTAGGCGCGCGCCAGCCACACTGGCAGCTGAGTTCACTCCCAGCACTCGTGTCGGGAGCTGGTTCTTCTGCGGTCTTCAGGCACCCCCACGCGCACCCACACTCATACCCCCCAAGAGGGAATAACAAAGTGTCCAAATATACACACAACTTCGTATTTATACGTACTGTGTGTTATTCGTGTGGAAAGCGAAAAGTGAAAGTCTGGAACCCAACCATCTCTTACCATCCCGTCCCGTTCCGTACCATCCTAGCACCGCCCACACTCACGTGATTTGGTTCATATGCCAAAGGGCCAGTGCCCGCTCTTTCTGTTGCTAATTCAAAATCAATAAGGCATTGTGCAACAACCACATTAACAACAACAACATTAGCATAAACTGCAAAACGAAACTACAGAAATGGACTTTACTAGATTCATGAATAAATTCAACGAAATCGAACGCCAACTATCCCCCACATCGGCCCTGCGTCTGAGCTTCGACAACATATCGCCGGAGACGGAGGAGCCGCCCGATGGCAACAAGAGGCTATGGGGCGTCCCCGTGCCACCCTTTGTCTCCGACAAAGTAGTCTCCTGGATCGAGGAGGAGTTTAATGAGGCGCCCGTCTTCTACAACGGCAACTGTGTGCTCAAGAAGGTAACAGACATTCTCCATCATGGCCTCAGCTCCGTTTCATTGCCTTTGCTATGCAAATCTCGCTACAAAGAAAATCAAACAAAAATCAATCTAATTTTCTTTTTTTTACGCATTGCCGCCAGCTCGTGGCCGGAAATTATGCAAATACCAATCGAGCTGGAGCAATATGTTCTGGGCCCTCGACTTGACCCTACTTGGCCTCTCTCCAGTAACCATTTCCCTATTTGGGTCACACAGACACAGTGATGCAATGCCACAGTCCACTCCATTCCATTCCGGCTGCCTCCTGGCGCCATTTGCGTAGCTATTTCCTCCCACAAATACGTACAAATTGTTGCATTATCACCGCAGTACTCGAGTCGAGGACTCTACAGGAACTGCTGGCTGTGCGGCCAATTAAATGTGTGGGTTTCCCATCATGTTCACAAATGGGAATGGCTTCTGGCTAGCTTCGAAAACTGCACTCGTCCATCAAAGACTTCACCGCATACTGCAACAGGCTGACAAATGAAAAGGTTTCCCATGTCCCCTGACAACTGTCGTCGTCTGTTTTCCATTCCGTTTTCAATTTCCTAGCTGTGGAAAATTGCTTGCCGAAGAGTAGCGGAAGCGATGCTGATTAAATTGGGTTGCAATCAAGGGCCCACAATCTTTAAGGATCCAAGTAGACTCGTAATGTTGTAGGTTCAATTTGCATGCTAAATTGACCGCCTGCTGTGCTTCTGGAACAATAAACCGCCCGTCCCGCTGACAATTAACTGACCTTATCTATCCCAACAATGGCCCCGCCTCGAACAGAAGCCAAAGCTACCGTCGAAATAACATGAAAGGAAATTAGTCGGCTGATGAGCGGGCTCCAGCGGCTGGGGCCCTGGAGCACAAACGGAAGGCAGGAGATGAATGAGAGTTTGAGGACCATCAAATGCCTGAATGGGATGGCTGCCCAGCGGTTTTGTTTAATGGATGAATGGCATTCATCTTGTACCCTAAGTGTTCCCTAAATCCCTCGCTTGTAGGTTCTGTTCTGCCTGAAAAGTAAAATAAAAGAATCCCTTTATCCTTTGAACTTGCTCTTCTTCCTGGCAATGCAGTGGCTTCTGTAATATGTGTGTGTAGGGGGAGTGGGTTGTGCGGTTGTGCGGTTGTTTCAGAATGTGGGCTGCATGGATGCCGACTGACGTCAGCAGGCAGCAGCAACTGAAATGAAGATGGGCTCAAATTCCATGTAAAATATTCGTGCAATAACATTACATATTTCTGCTCTCTCTCTCTTTTTCTTTCTGTTGGTTTTCTGTACACATTTCGGCAGGTGGAGAGTGTGCGGATGATAGATCGCTACAATACCAAAAATCCCACAGTCGGTACCCTCTATCTGACGGCCACCCATTTGATATTCGTCGAGCCCGAGAGCAACAAGGAGACCTGGGTAAGTAGCCACCGATATGACATCATCAATTGTTTTATGCCCCTCCTCGGGGCAACTTGTTTGTGTGGGAACTTTTGGAATCGAAAAGTCGCGTGGAATGGGTACGTACTACGTAGCCTGGGCCGCAAACAATTTAGTGTCGCGACATCTGAGTCACCTGAGCCGTCGTTCCGTTCTTATGGACATGTGGAAACGTGCTCAAATGTGTGTTTTCCTGATGGGGCTTGGGCTTGGGCTTGACCTCGCATTTGCAAAAAGTTTGAGGCTTTTCCTGCATCTTACAGGCGGCAAGCCCTGTGTAATAAGAGTGATGTCTGACAGTCGTGGATGCGGCGCGGCCCGGCTGTTCGCAGTTCCGTCACTCGGCTCAAGAAGCATGAGTGCAGAAATGTTTCTTCTAAGAAGTTGCCTCAAGGCTTGCGCGCCACTTTTCGTGTATTTGCGCTTTAGGTTTCCGCTTAAATTTGCTTAAATCAGTGCGCAGAGGAAAAAGCATGGCATAATCACGTAGCGTATACGCCCCATTGCAAGCGCACAAATTGAATCCGGCCAGCATTTCTATACCAAATTAATTGCGTAAAAAGCAGCAGCGTGCACAGTACACAGTACCGTAGTACAGTAGTACATTCTCATCAGGCATAAGCCCCCAGCGGGGGGACAGATACGTCTCTTTGTATCCAACAAAAGAGGCAAGGGGATTGGGCCATGGAGTCTACGGGTGGTTTAATGGAAGGGGGCAGCTCTTGGTGGTTGCACAAACAGCTTAGTCAAGCTGTTCTGGCTTAGCGCTTTTTGCATTATGCCAGCCAATGCGATTTGTATGCCTCAAAGCGGAAACATTTCCTAGAAAGCATGAAGCCGTAATGAATAGAATCCAATAAATTAAAAAGGCTTATCCTTAAATTTGATTTGCCTTAAACCACACCCTTGATATATATACTTACATATACATATTATGTATCCCCACTTAATTTCCATTAAATCCTCGTGGTTCTACCAATTAGGGTTCGCAGCAACCTTAAATTGAATTGCGGCTGCAACAGCTCTTACGGATGCGTAATTCTGTCAGCAGGAAAGCACGCATGCATTGCATTTTAATTGCCTGCCCCAAAATTGCATTAATTATGCTCTCCACTCGGCAACTACCGGTGCAAGTGCGACAAGTGCCCCCAAGGCAGAGAGAGAGAGAGAGAGAGAGAGAGCGAGACTCTGAACTCACTTGTTGGCAAAGTGAGAAGAGGTTTAATTAAATGTTGAAGGGCTTCGACTGGTGGGTATTTTACGAAGAGCCTATCGATTTTCGGTGGCACTTAGCAATTGGTTCCTAAGTCTCTCATAATCCTCCGGACAGGACTCTCAGGCTACTCCGATTTACTGTTTTTAGTGCTGCACTGAGGCGCATCAATAATTGAGTGGGGAACGAACGCAACTCCGTGCCCAGGCACGTACTTCTGTGGACTCAGGGAAGGGGGGGGATAGAGAGTCGGCGTAAAGTTAGGGGGAGGCGCGCTTGCTTTAGTTTTTCTAGCAGCGAGGCGAGCGTTGCATAATCGCAACCCTGGGCAGTGTCATGGTCAAGTGTCGCAAATGAAATTGTTGGCAATGGTTTTTGCCACTACTTGCAGATTCTGCACATGCACGTGGCCAGCATAGAGAAGCTGCCGCTGAGCACAACCGGATCGCCGCTCCTCATACGCTGCAAGACATTCCTGTCGGTCACATTCGTGATTCCTAAGGACTCCGAGTGCCACGACGTCTACACATCACTGCTGAAGCTTTTCCAGCCAGGTGAGCAGACTTGTTTAAAGCATATCCATCGCCAACTCTTCATTCTCCTCCTCCACAGTATCCATCAACAAATTGTATTGCTTCAACTATCAGCCGGCCAAGGATGACTACCCCAAGAGCGCTGGCTGGGACTTCTTCAACCTGGAGGCCGAGTTCAAGCACCTACTGGTGCCCAACGACAATTGGACCCTGTGCTCGATGAACGAGAAGTACGAGCTCTGCGACACCTATCCGCGTCAGATCTACGTGCCCAAGGAGGCCACCACTCTGATGCTCATCAGTAGTTCGCGCTTCCGCTCCAAGGGACGGCTGCCGGCGCTCACCTATCTGCACAACAACAAGGTGGGGGTCAACTTTGCTATTCAGCATTGTTTGGATAATTAGCTGAAAAATGTCTCCTTCTTTTTAGGCCTCCATTTGCCGCTGCAGCCAGCCGCTGTCTGGCTTCAGTGCCCGCTGTTTGGAAGATGAACAAATGCTGGAGGCCATACGGAAGACAAACACTAACACTGACTACATGTATGTGGTGGATACGCGGCCGCGTGTGAGTACCATGTGACATATCCTAGAGATGAGTACCATGCAAATAGTCCCGTCCCCTTTCATATTTGCAGATCAATGCGATGGCGAATCGAGCTGCCGGCAAGGGATACGAGAACGAGGCCTTCTATGAGAACATTAAGTTCCATTTTCTGGGCATCGAGAACATACACGTACAGCGCGCCAGCCTGCAGAAGGTGCTGGAGGCCTGCGAACAGAAGTCTCCCACCATGAGCGCGTTCCTGAATGCCCTCGAGTCGTCTGGCTGGCTGAAGCACATTCGCTCCATATTGGACACGTCGAGGTGTGTAAACATTCAATAAGATGTCAGATGGCTCGTATTTATTTGGTGACAGCTGAACAAACAGAAACTCATTCTTCTCCTCCTCTTACTCTTCCTTTCTGCAGCTTCATTGCAAATGCCGTGGACAAGGGCGTCTCTGTGGTTGTCCACTGCTCCGATGGCTGGGACCGCACCGCTCAGGTGTGCTCGCTGGCGCAGCTGATGCTGAATCCCTACTACCGCACAATCAAGGGCTTCCAGGCGTTGATCGAGAAGGATTGGCTGGCCTTCGGGCACAAGTTCAGCGAGCGTTGTGGCCACATTCAGACGGATGCAAAGGAGGTCTCGCCTATTTTCACGCAATTCCTGGACTGCACCTGGCAGCTGATGTCGCAGCGAAGCGAAGCCTTCGAGTTCAACGAGCGCTTCCTTCTCATCCTGCACGACCATGTGCACTCCTGCCAGTTCGGCACCTTTGTGGGCAACTGCGAGAAGGATCGACTGGACCTGAAGCTCTCCGAGCGCACATTTTCATTGTGGGGCTTCATGGCCAACCACCTGAACGAGTATATCAATCCGCTATACAGGCCCAATGTGGATGAGGCAATCAAGGCCAATCTGGCGCCGCAGTGCATCAAGTAAGGAGTCTGCGCCTGCTCAGCGACAGATAAACATTCGCGACTTATCTTTTCTTCTGTTCCTCCCGTAGATTCTGGCGGGGAATGTACTGCCGGTTTGAGAGCGGCATTCATCCGCGAGAACCGCTGGGCGATCTGCTGCTCGACAGCAAGGAGCACACCAACTCTCTGGAGGATCATGTGCAGCATCTTACCAAGCGCATAGCAAGCTTCAAGAGCTACATCTCCAAGTCGGCCAAGAAACTGCAGGATGCCACCAACACCAAGGTCACCAAAGAGGTGGCTGTTCCCAACGAGATCAATGACAACAAGTACAAGCGAATGGCAGCGTTGAATGATCCCCCTCTAAGATCTGATTCCCCATTCCAGATACAACTACGACAAGAAGCTGAGCGAACTGTCCGCTGCTGATGACGACCACCCGCTAAAGGCAAACAACATGTCGTTTGCCAATCTCTCGCTGAACGCAGAGCAGACGAGCCCGCCACAAGACCTGCCCGACGAGATCAGCTCAGTGGCCATTGATTGGAAGCCCATGCGCAATGTTACCGCCTGTTCCTGCTCCACGCCCTTCGATCAGTTTAGCAAAAAGGTGAGGCAGAACTCGGCCAGAGATATTCGAAGCTTATCCCTAATCTATCCCCTCGACAGACACATTGTTGGCGCTGCGGTGACATCTTCTGCGAGCGCTGCATCGACAAAAATGTGTCCCTGCCAGGACACGACAGCGGCAAGCTGGTTCCCGTGTGCCGAGGCTGCTTCCGGCAAATGCAGAAGAGCAGCCCGTAGAGGGTTCCAGAACATATAGCCTAATCCGTAGTCATAGTACATTGTTGAGCATGATAGCGGTTGAGTCGTCGACCGTGCAGACTGTGTGTTGGGGGAGGAGGAATGAATGGATGAAAATGCAATTATAAACACCATGAATTATATTATTTATATTATATTTATTGTTGCATTTGTAGTGGTAGCTGCTTAGAAGCTCCTTCGAGTTGTTGCATATTTAAAACAAAACAAAAAAAAGTAGAGCCAAACCAATAAAATCTAAACCGCGAGGGATGGGCTTCCAGGCATCGACCCATTCCATAAGTCGGGCACAAATCTGTATATTTTGTTGTTAAACTTAGATCAGCACCCAGAAACAAACACACAAGCAAGAGTACAAGTGAAAGCATATTAAAACTATAAAATATGTGTCTATAAAATATGTGTTAAATATACACAAACAGAAACAGCGGGGACCGCTGCAAAAATTCTGCTTAATCAATTTAATTTTAAAAAGCACACTATTTATTCAATGATTTCATTCACAACTGACTCGATTATAGAAACTCCTTCAGCGGTAACCCACATACAGAATGCGCCGCCCCCTCCTAAGCTGCGGTCCCTCGCATTAACCATATTCCACTAGGATTAACCTGCCTGGCAAAAAACAAGGAAGAACATAAAATACTATTCAAAATTGTTTATCGATTTGATCAAAATGTAATAAAAAAGTAATATTTATTCAACAGCAGCGGGATTTATCTGAGCGACGATTAGTAGCCAATTTCTGGCTTGATGCGCAGAATGACGGGAACGCTGGTGCAGGGCAGGATGGCCACCTCGGTGACCACGGCGCTGACCAGCTCTGGAGGCGTTATGTCATAGTTCAGGTTGAGGGGCGTTAGATGGGCCTTGGCTGTCCAGTTCTTGAGGCAGCACTTGTCGTCGCGCACCAGATCGTTGGGATCGCTCAGCTCGTTGTAAACAATGGCGTCGGTCTGGAACCGTTCGCTGAACTTGTGCGTCTCACAGCAGACCAGAACGGGGACATTGTGGGCGTTAGCCACGAGGGCCACCTGAGCAGTGCCTGTTCGCGCCATCACATAGCCGTTGGCGAGCAGAGCATGGGCACCCAGTAGCACCTTGGTAGCTTCGGCCATCACATAGCCCACGGCATTGATCAGCACATAGGTGCAGGGTATTCCGTGGGCGTGTAGGCGCCGCAGCATCTCCTGGCCCTCGCAGGTGGGACGCGAATCGACCACAATGACACGGAAAGCGACCTGTCGCCGCTTAGCCTCCTCGCAGATGAACTGTATTAGTGAGGAGCAGCCAAAGGTGAGCAGTACATCACCATCGGTGATTTTCTCCTGCAGAGAACTGCTTATGGCTTGAGCAGCCTTGCCAATCTGGTTCTCCATGTAGGTGTCGATGAAGTGGACGAGCAGTTCCTTCAGCTGCAATAACGATTTGGTTCAACATTACTGAACGAGTAAGTCTGGCGAGAAGAGACTTACCTCCGCCTCTGGCACATCTGCCGGCAGTTGCGTGACCTGATTCCTAAACTGTTTGTAGGCATTGGACACGGAGACGGCCAGCGGACGACACTTGTGCAGATGATCCACGTGATGCTTTACTGCAGCATCCAAGCTGCGCCCAAACTCCTTCTTGGCAGGCGTCTCAAAGTCCTGCACCACCTGCCGCAGGGCATGCAGGAAGGCAATGCACCGCGCATTGGAGCCGACCACTGTGCGCTGAGCATATTGCACTCCAAGGCGAGCCATGCTGGGATGCACCAGCGGATCGTTGATGAACAGGCTGGCGCCCTTCTCTGCACAAACCAAATGATTGAACAGCTTTACTTTGCACTCTGATTTGGCGGTGAATAATGAGTTTTTGCTGGGTGAAGAGCTCGTTGCTGATTTCACAGGCGAGACGCTTTCCCGTTTTTGTTCCTTGAGTACCGTGCCTGCACCCGGAGCCTTGACCGCTGGCTGGGCTTTCTTTAATTGTCCTTGTCCTTGGGCCTTGGCTGCCCGCTGAGCTTCCTGTAGAGCCCGCCGCTCGGCTTTGCTGAGAGCGGGCTTCTTCTGGGAATGACAGAGAATGAGAGGTGTTTAAGTTATATTTGTACCTTACCTTATCGTCATCCGCTGCAGAGGATGGAGCTGCGGTAAGTGTTGGAGTCTTATCTGTCACTTTTAAGTTGGCCAGCTTCTGCACTGGGGGCTCAACCTTGGTCCCACTGGATTTGGCTGCCTTCGCAGCCTGTTTGGCCGCCTTCTTAGCCTCTCGCTCAGCCTTAATCTGGTCGCGTGTCTTGTCCCCAGTTTCCGTGCCTGTCGACGCAGTGCAATTGACTGCGGCAATGGGAGCTGCTGGCCCTGCAGTTCCTGCGGGTGGTTCTGGCTTGTCTCTGGCAGTGGTTGTGATCGTGGTTGTCAACTTGGTAGTTATGGTCGTCTGCTCCACTTCGGTGATGATTTTTGTGGCTGGTGTTGTAGCCTTTTGCTTCTTGGCCTGCTTGGCTTGCTTCTTGGCCTCGCGCTCTGCCATGACCTGCTCACGCGTTGCATCCTGCTGGCTGTTGTCCCCTGGCATTGCACTCTCAGTGGGCGCGGAGTCAGTAGTCGACGATTCTGTAGTAGTATTAGCAGTAGTAGTGCTATGTTCAACGCGATTTCGTTTGTTCCGGGGTCGATTTCGTTGCCTCAGTTTCTTTTGCTTGGCCCTGGTCGTCTGACTCTCGGTCTGTGGGAGTGGGGTGTTTAGTTAAGATAACTACCAAGCTAGGATACAATTTTAAATCAAATCATTAGGCATGCAAAACCAAAGACTACAAGTGCACTACGGTGCTAAAAAGGTTTTAGTGAGTAAGGCCTGATACCTGTGACACCTGATCGCTCGTTATAATCATTTTGATAGCTTGCAAGGAGACAGACATGGACATTTAAATAGCAAAGCAAGTGGAAAGCCTGGAGAAGAAGCCCTTAGTAGCGGCACTATTAGGACACACAAAGATGTTAGCAAATGGTAGAATTCCTCATTAACCGGCTTCGTAACTAACTATAAAGAGGGTTTTATGGCCCGGGCTCTGTTTACCTTACGAATTGTGGAATTGTTCAATTTATTTGCTCACGATGGCAAAAACTCCAGCTGATTTGATATTATCGATATTGCCATCGATGATTCCGCAGCCCTAATTTCAATCCTACATTTTACTACAAATAAAGTCGGCTTAGATTCTAAGACACTGTATTTAGAATTAAGATAAACTAAGCAAGCCATATATTTGTGTTACATTCTGCCAGTATAGTACAAATTGTTTACACAGCAACAGTATATTTTCGATCATCTCCTCGCACGATAGCATAAGTTTGCAGCCCCGATAGCAATTCACTCCAGAGTTGCACCTGACGATTTTATTGTGTTCTTTCAGCGAGGTACGTACGTTCGACAATCGGGAAAATTACATAATTTTTGCATAAATCAAAAGTTGATATTTCCTCGCCACATCAGTATCCAAATCAACAACTACCATGGCCGACAAAGCTGCTCCTGAAAAGCCCGCGGGCCGCCCCATGAGATACCCATACACTTTCTCGGCAAAGATTGCCCAATTCCCCATCAAGCACTACATCAAGAATCAGTGGATCTGGCGCTACTACTTCATTGCGGCTGTTGCCTGCGTGCCCGTCTTCTACAAGATCAGCCGATTGGGTATGTTATCCTGCTCCTGCCGAAATTGCATAAACAAATGCACTTGCTAATCAATTTTTCTTCCAACAGCCAACTCGCCCGGAAACAAGAAGGCATGGGCCGAGTCCCAGGCTAAGGAGGCTGCCGAGCACCATTAAATGGCCCACAAGAGCGATGCTGCCATTAATTTAGTTTTAATATATGCATCTACATTTCAGAGCTGTTTTTGTTGGCTTTAAACCTGATCGGCGAATAAATGAGTTGAAAACGGATACTTTTTCTGTTCATAATAAAATTGTAAAAAATGTGGTATTTAAAAGTGCATTAAAATACCAGACTTACATGTCTGTGTTTCCCAGGGATGGAGAAAAGTATCGATAGTTGTATCGATAATATGCCATCCCTACTGCTGTGACGACCGGTTGTAAAAAAAACGCGGAATTTTATTTTTGTTTATCTCTGTTTTTTCAATTTAACTAGACGTGTAGTGGGCCCATGCCACATTGATAGGTGACTTTCATGGTTTAAATAGATATGCAGTTTCTCGCGCAGGTCCAGTCAAACTAAGGGTTTATCCAGCGGCCCAACGTAAACACGTGAAGTGGTACAAAAAAGGAGGAGGAGGCGATATGGCCATGCCGGAGAACCCTCAGTTTCCCGAGGTCAACTTAGATCAACTACTGGGTCCGTCCGCTAACGAGGGCACGTTCCTGGCCCCGTATCGGCATGCTTCGATATCCAAAATCAACACAAACACCCAGTCTAAGCGTCGCCGGCTGTCCGAGCGGATTTGCGACAGCGATGAGTTGATACGGAAAGTGAAACAGCTGCAGAGCCACAACCAACAACTGACCGACACGCAGCGGACAGCCAAGGAGGTGACCGATCTGTACACGACAGAAAAGCAGCAAAGGATAGAGCTGGAGAAGCATTGTCAAGAGCTCGAAGGGCGCTGCAGCCAGCTGGAAATTAAACTGGACGCTCAAGTCACCAACTGTGAGAATCTGGAGGAGGATCTGAAGGTCAGGGCCCTACCGATGGCTGCTAAAGACCTGGTCGAGGCCTACATGCAACTCGCACACAGAGTAGGCGACGATGCCGGGCTGTCACGACGTGAGCAAAATATAATGAAAAAAGTCAGAGACTACTGCAAGTCGGCAAAGATTGTTGTCGCAGAACTAAAAAGTCCTAACCCGAAAGCAAAGCGAAAAGGCATCACCCAAACAATGAAAACTCAATCCACACAAACTTCGACTAAGCCGAAGACCAGTATGTGTTCCGTTGGTGTGCAGATCACGAATCTGGTGGAGACACGCAATCAGGGGACGCAGCATAAGAAATCCACGACCACACGAGGAACCACTACGGCCGCCTTCATCAAGTACCGCGATGTGGGTACATGCTTTCCAGAACCGAAGCCCGCGCCGAATGTGCGCCAAATCCTAGATGAGATGTTATCCTGGCACAGACCCGCTGTCGCCATGCCCCTAAGCCCCATAATGGAACCTCCGCTTGTGGTGGAGGACATCATCTCCAAGAAATCCACCGTAAATATTGGCACCTGCACCATGCTTTGCAATGTGCACCGAGAGATCGACTTCATGCCTGTGGTGCCGTCACAGATCAAGGTCTCCACATCTCGGCCACCCTCGCGCACCATGTTCGAAAGTGTGAAGGATGAGGCATTGGCGGGGGGCACCGTGCCGTCTGGCAACGCCAAGGAGTTTCGGGAGATTCTTAACTTTCTACCTCAAAACCAAAGCTGCCTCGCCAACCTGCCGCCCCAGGCCTTCGATGAGCTATGGCATGTTATTGGCCAAATGGTTCTGTGTCTGCTCCACAGGGGATCGAACCCTCCGCTTTCACCGCCGCCCAGCATTAAGCAAATGGACTTTACAAGTTGGCTCTACGCGCTCTATGAGGGCACACTGACTCATCCGGTGATTGAAAAGCAGCGTAAACCGGATCATGCCTCCAGCACAAGCAGCAAAAAAGGTCTCCTTGCGATATTCTTTCGATTACATGATTTAACTCAACGCGCTCTCTTTACAGATAACTACGAGTCGGGCACAGATTGCATGGGAATGGATGTTGGCACTGATCCTATGGACATAATCGCAGAATCGTCCAACATCAGCATCGGAGGAGAGCTCACGCCGATACATCTGCCACCGAAGCCACTGCAAGAACGAAAGAAAAAGTCAAGAAAACGCAAAGCGTCTTCGATTCTGAAGCCAATCCCCAAGCGAAAGATTGTGCATGATGAAGCAGCAGTGGAGCAAGCACTACCCCAAATGGCCAATGAACTAATGGAAATGCACCAGAAAGTGGAGTCGCCAGCTCCAGAGACGGCGATTCAATTTATAAGCAATCTGAACACCTTCAACATGCCCTACTGTGATAATTTAGACTTTGATTTGGACTTGGAAGAGCGGTATTTGCTTCGTTTATTGTCCACCAATGGCCATAACATGCGAAGGACAGTGGAAAGTGACAAGGTTGTGGAACATTCAGAAAGAAATCCTTTGTCGCCACCTCAATACGAACTCAATGATAATGAGGATCGTACGACGAACACAGATTCCGTTCCAGCGAAATTCAATCCGAAAGTCTCCAGTGATGAAGAAAATTCTCTGGAAGAGCCGCAGTCAAAGCAAAAAGAACTCGATGGCAATGTGGAGGATGCTACGACCGACACAGATTCCTTGCCAGGTGAATGCAATCTTCAAGTCTTCAGTGATGAAGAAACTTCTGTGGAACAGCTGCCGCCACCTCAAAAAGAACTCAATGCGAATGACGACATCCTCATGAGTAACTCAGATATATTGCTGGGGGAATGCGTCAAGGATAAGGATATGCCATCTTTCGAAAATGACAGAGAGGAATGGGAAGAAGCAAAAACAGCAGCAGATCCACCAAAACCAGCAACGCCAGTGCACGCAAATTTACATTTGGAGCTATTCGGCAGCGAGTCAGAATCCGAGGCGGATGCAAGCGATGCGCAGCTGCATTGGGATTCGTTGAATTTCGGTTGTAGCAACAGCGAGGGATCGGAAATTCTAGTTATAGATGAAGGAAGTTCCCCGATATCACAATCCCCGATATCACAATCTCCGATATCACAATCCCCAATATCACAGTCCCCGATATCAGAATCCCCGATGGCACAGTCGCCACTGCGACCGTCCTTTAGTCAGCTCAAAAGGAAGGAAAGAGCAAGCGAGTCGCCGCACAAGGAAGTTCGTTTGACTCGTTTAAGAGCCAAGCAGATCCAAATGGAACAAAATAGCCTAAAAGAGGAACAGGCGAAAGATATAGATCAAAAATTAGAGCAGACGCCGGCACAGGAAAATGAAACGAAAGCGAAGAGAAATGAGACGAAGGATTTGGAGCACGAGAAGACTATTTTCTATGACTTGGAGTCTCCAGCCTCACCCACTTCGACGTGGACGGACCAGAGCGACAGTCCACCCATCGAAATCCCATTGGAGCTGTCAGGGTGCCGCAAGGGTGACGGCGAACCCAAGGCTATGCTTCTGCATGTGATGGATGCACCCAAGGGGAAAATGCAGTCTACGCATCGTCTTACGGAGACGCAGAAGGATTTGCTTTGCTCTACAATAAAAAGATATCTTATGGACACCATTCAACTGGACTCGACGTGCAGGGACCTCTTGAACGAGGTCTTTAAGATAACGCGGGATGTAGCTGTGATTGTTAATGTGATGATTACAGCCTTCTGCCAGATGACCTACAATTGGATGGAGCCCAAACCAAACGACCCGTTGGATCGCCTGCTGAATGCCCTTAGATACTTTGAAGTGATCAGATCCAACCAACCCTCCTTCACACAGAGCTTCTTGTGTGCGCTGGAGAAGCGTCTCTTCCGGGTGACAAAGGATAGAATCCAACTGGACTGGGCCATCACGTGCGTCAAACTCTACCTGGAGGTGGGCCGACTGCATGCCAGCCATTCGAATCCGGAGACATATGAGAACCCGTCGCGCTTGCTGCTAGCAAAAATACTGTATAGATACGACAGGGATGTGACTCAGTTGGTGTACGAGGTGTTGTGCTTCCATCCCACGGTGCTGCCGCACCGCGAGGTCCGGGAGTACAACAACTTCGATCCCCTGATTACTGTGATCAAGCATCTGCTAATGTGCCGGAATTACGAAGTGAGTGATCCCAAAGGATGCGAGCGATTGCTGCTCTCCAAGCTGCGCTTCGCGTATCACTTCCAGCCCTTTGAGCCCACCAAAGAACAGGTGCTGGAGAACCTGGTGGACAAGCTGAAGGCGGGCCGCCTGGACCAGCTGAGCTACGCCTTTGCGCTCTTCTGTCGTCGCAGCCCGCGGTTGGATGTGGTGAACAATGTGCTCGCCCAGCACCTGTTGCCGCTCGCCTCTAGCTACTGTGATCTAAGTGCACATACTGATGCGTACGATGTCCGACTCGAGGGTATTCTGCAGTGTATATCGGTGGTGCTGAAGCCGCTGCCCCTGGACACGGACATCTCCAGCTTTATTGGGCTGTTCAAACGCCTGCTCGTGGCAGTGCCACGAGCAGCCGTTCAACAGGCAGCCGTTCAGGCCATCTTGAGGCTGCAACGGTTCGGCTTCAAGCACGTTCTCGATGCTCTCCAAAACTACAGACCCAACTACCAACTGACGCCACTGACACGCGCCATGTTGCGCAGCTTTGTGCAGCGGCGTCGCGTCTACCATATCCAGAGGAGGCATGCACAGAGCCATGCCCAAGGAGCGGCCACATGAGATTCTCTTTGTATGAATTGCAACTATTTATTTAAATTATATTGTATATTATGTATAGATATTTTGGATTAAACTAAATGCCAACTGCAACTGCAATGAAAGATTCATTCATGTCGTTGCTCTTTACAATATTCAACTTAAACTAAAATACAGAAACACGATTGCACTTATGCGGGAGATGTGGGGAGCGCGAAAGAAGAGAGGTAAATCCCAATAGAAATGTACATACAATAGTGCATAGCATGCCAGACAGTGGGAGAGACAAAAGTAGCTAGAGTTCCACGGAGGACTGTACAATAATAACATCGATAATAATAACATATACATATTTATGCGGAGTGGGGTATGCGTGTTGGAAATGAAATGCTAGGACGCCAAAATCCATTGCCATATTTCATGCCTGCTCTGCCCAGTGTTTCGGGATGGGCGGGTGAGGTATAAGGTACTTGTTGTGATCTTGGGCTGCTAACCATTCTGATTAAATTTGTAGTCTAGAAGCGTGGCTGGGCATGGCTCCCACCAGCCGCCGTCGTGGAGAGCCATTAGTTCATGCTAGATCAGTTTATTCAACTGAAAGAAGCCAACATATCCGCGAATTATTTAATGCATTTTGAGCTTTTTTTTGTAGATGGGATGTTCATACCAACGATCGACGCTGATGCTCCTTCTCCAGGGCCACCTGGGATTGTTGTGGCGAGAATTTCAGCACCGCCGATATCACCTTGACCAGAGTCTCGTTGTTCGTGTTGCCGGTTAAGTACTGCCAATCAGGGAATAGATATTTAGAGCTTGCTCGTGCATTAATTGTGGATCTCTGGACACGACACTCACCTGGAACATAATGTTGCGCAAATACTCAAACTCTGTGTTGGCCGGCACAGACTCGCTGTGCTGCATGGATACCTGGAAAGGCGATTCATGAAATAAATTGTTATCAACGAAGGATTCATCCATTCTTACTAGTGTTTCATCCAGTTGGCGCGAGAGTTTCGCATTCTGCAGCTTCAGGCGCTCGTTGGACTGTTCGAGTATCAGGAAGTTTTCACACTTTTGTTCAAGGAACAGGTTTCGATTCGTCACATCCTGGACCTCATTCATGATCTCTTTCAATTTGGACTCCAGCACGGCCTTCTCGCTGGTGGCGGCCGCTTCCTGGACGTGTTTGGGGGCCATGCTGTTCAGAAGTTGCTGAGCTTGAATGCCCGCCCTCAGGGTCTCCAGTTCATTGATGCGCTCGGCCATCTGCTGGTTGTTCGCCTGCAGTTCCTCGATTTCCTGTTGCATATTCGACTCGGCGCCGTTGCTCTTGTGTTTCAGACCCTCCAGTTCCCGCTGCAGCTGCTCGTTGAGGCTGCGCAGACTGTCGGCATCTGTGGCAGCGGAAGCGGAGGACGCAGGCTGCTCCTTGAGGCTGGCCACCTCTTTGTGGAGTTCCGCAATGGCCGCCTGAAGACTGATCTGTTCTTCTTGGGCCTTGGCCAACTCGCTTTGTCTCTCCTGCAGGTGCTGCTGAGTCTGAAGCAGCTCTGTCTGGACTGCATCGCTCTGTTCGGTCACGAAACTGGCGTGTTCCCGCTGGCGGGTAAGTTCGAGGGCCTGTTCCTCCAGCGCCGTCTTCAGCTGATCTGCCTCCGCCTTGGCCGTCGCACTTTGGCTTTCCTTTTCGGTCACTTGAGTGGCGTGATGCTCGACCTGCTCCTGAAGGACATACAGCTCGCACTGCAGCGACTTTAGCTTCTCCTTGAGCTCCCCATTCTCGGCCAGCTCATGCTCCAGCTGCTTTGTGTGCTTGTGGAGATACTCGTTTTCGACTTGAATTTCCTCATATTTGGCCAGCTTTTGGGTGGAGTCCACAGTGATCTCAAGTTGACGATCCTTCTGGGCGAGGGTCTCCTGCAACTCCTCCAGTCGCTGACTTTGCTGATCCATCGCCAGCTGGAGAGCATCATTGGCCTCGTGCAGCCTCTCAACATCCGCATTGGCTGCACTCCAGCGTGCCTCGAGCGTGGCCATCTGGCTGGCTTGGGCCACATTGGTGGCCTGCATTTTCTCTTGGATGCCCTGCTCTGTCAGCCTGAACGCATCGATCTGCTGGCGAAGATTTTGGATGGTCGCCTGCAGCTGGGACTCGCTCTCCAGGTGGCTGGCCTCCAGTTCGGTACAGCGTTCGGACTGGTCTTTCACCTGCTGCTCATGCTCGCGTTGGCGCTCTCGCAGCTCTAACAGATGCTGCTGCTGCTCGGCCAGATCTCTCTCCAGATTGGTCTTGACCCGCTGCAGCTCTTCACTGGCCGCCTGCAGGCACTCCAGGGCATCCTTGTTCAGAAGCGTCTCCTTTTCGTAGGCATCGCACTTGTCCTGCAGCGTGCGATAGTCGTGATCCATTAGCTCCTGTGCATTCTGCAGTTTCGAGTGTTCGTCGAGCACCTGCTGCATCTTCGCCTGAACCTTTGACAGTTCGTCCTGTTTCGCCTGCAACTGCAGCTGTAGGTGATTCGCCTGCTCCTCCAGCAGACAGTTGCGCTCAGACAGCTTGGTGTTTTCACTCTGAATTTCATCTATCTTGGCAGTGGCGCGCTCGTCCTGCGCACTGTTGCTCTGCTGCTCACCCTGCAGAGCCTCGATGCGGGACTCCAGTTTGCGGTTCTCGCCCTCCAGTTGGCTATGCGAGTCCTGCACTTGCTGCAAGTGCGCCTGCATGCTGGTGATTTCCTCCAGGATAGAGCTTACGCGTGTCTGCAGCTCCTCCTTCTCGCTCTCCACCTGCCTGGCGAGACTCTGGCTCTCCGCGATCTCTTTTTGAAGCTGCTCTACGTGGACTGATTGTTCGCTTGTCTTGGCTTGTTGTTGATCGTGCTGCTTTTTCAGCTTGTTCATCTTATTTCCAGAGGCCTTCAGTTCCTTCTCCTTGGCCAGGAGACTCGCCCGACTGCCGGCCAGCTCCTGGTTGAGTGTTTCGAGCTGCGCTTTCAGTGCTGCTATCGTTTCACTCTCTGTGCTTTCATGCTGATCCTGAAGCATTTGGATTTCACGCTGCAGCTGCTCCAATCGCAGCTTGTGCTGCTCTTCTAGAGATGTCTTTTCGGTGCTCAGTGCGGCCAGAGACTCTCGCTCGATCTCCAGGCTCTTTTCGAGCTCCAAGATTTGCTGCTCGCGCTCCGCCAGCTGCCCTTCAAGCGCAGCCAAATTATCTTTGGTCTGCTTCAGTTGACCCTCAAAGTCCATCTGCTGGGAACGCTGGACAATTTCGAGCAACTGATCGTTGTGCTGCCGCAGGTCCTGCAGACTCTGCTCACTGTCTGTTCTGAGCGCGTGCACTTCCTTCTCCAATGCCCCAACCTGCTCGTTTTTGGCTGATAATTCGCCTCTCAGGGAGATCAATAGTTGTTCGGTGCTAAAGAGACTCGCCTCTGCTTCCCCTCTGGCCAATTGTAGTTCTTGTAGTTGGTCCTGGGCAGCTTTACTTTCGGACTCGAGATCCTTGTTCTCATGTTGTAGTTTTTGCAGGGTCTGATCGCTTTCTACTTTGAGAGTTTCCAGTTGCCTCTCTATGGCGACCACCTGGTCTTCCTTTGCAGATTGCTGCATCTTTAGGGTATTTAGTAGCCCCTCCGTGAACAAGAGTTTAGCTTCTGCAGTTTCTTTGGCAACCTGTAGATTCTTCAGTTGCTCGGAGCCACGCTCCTGGCTCTGCTGCCGCAATTCGTTCAGTTTACTTTCGCTTTCCGCTTTTAGAGTTTCCAGTTGCTTCTCTAGTACGACCACCCGTTCCTCCTTTGCCGTGTGTTGCAACTTCAAGGACTTCAATAGCTCATCCGTGGACGAGAGCTGAGCTTCTGCAGTGTCTTTAGCCACCTGTAGTTTCTTCAGCTCTTCGGAGCCACGGTCCTCACTGTGCTGGCGTAATTCGTTCAGTTTTGTTTCACCCTCCTCTTTGAGAGCCTCCAGCTGCTTTTCGAGGGCTACCACCTGTTGCTCCTTGGCTGTATGCTCCCCTCTGAGGGTGCTCAAAAGATGTTCTGTGGCAATGAGCTTCGCATCGCATTCCTGTTTTAGTTCCAGCAACTTCTTTAGCTGATCTTTGACGTCGCTGGTCTGAGACTCGCGCGTGGACTCGTATTGCTTCAGCTTCTCCTGCAGCTGCCGCACCTCGATATCCTTGTGCTCCAGCTCTGTGTGAATGGCCTGCTTGGTCTGGGCTAAGAGCAAGACGTTCTCCTCCTCCTGTTTTTGCAGAGCTGCGTATTTCTCCGTCATCTCTCGAAGCTGCACTTGCCGCTCCTCCAGCAACTGCTGCAGATGGGACAAGTCCTCAGTCGAACTGCCATTCGCGGGAGGCTGGGACCTAGCTCCTGATTCCTCCAGATCAATCAGCTTGTCGCTGTCTATACCTTGACTGACCCGCTCTAGGGCAGCCGAAATATTTTCCGGATTCTCGCCGAGCAGCTTGAGCTTGGTCTGGTAGGCCTGCATCTTGCAGCTCATGTCATCCATTTCGATCCGTAGTGCCTCCTCCAGATGCGCCTTGGCCTGCTGTTCCAGTGTGCATTGCTCACGCAGTTCGCTGATCCTACGCAGCGCCTTGTCTTGTGTCTCCACCAGCACCGACTGCAAAGTAATTTTATCGGCAGCATAAGCAGGCGCTTATCAGTGATTGGTAAAGATAAGATTGATAGATACCCTTGCCTTGGTGCTGTCACGCTCCAATTCCTTGTACTTTTTGGCCAGATCCGTGTAGCGGCAGCGATACTTGTGGTAGCGATCGAGGGACTTCTTGTACGCATCGTACAGCTGATCCTTGGTGATTACATCCAGGCGTGCCGTCGAAGCAGAGTCATCAAACTCGCTGCTCGTCTCATCCAGATCCGATTGCAAGTGATAGACCTAGTTAATAAAAAAAAAAATACATTTTAAATCGTAATCGTGGGACTATTCCATATATTTCGATATTTACGGCTGGGGCATCGTAGGAGGGCAGGCGAAAGGACACATCGCTGGCCATGGATGAGTTGGACAGCTTGCGGCTCCTTGGTATGGCTCCGCCGCCCAATCCATTGAGCGATTGTGTGGAGGAACGTCCCCTCAGCGAAGAAGCGCTCGTCGCTGGCAGCTTTTGTATGCGGTACGGCGAGTTCTGAGGCGTGTCTGTGTGCATGGAATGGAAAATGGGCTGATAAGAAACTCAAACATAACTGGCAGAAAGCAAAGAAAGCTCACCCTCCTCCGTGATGCTGAAAAAGTTCTCATTGGTGCCGCTGCTGGTGTTGGTATCCGAGCTGTTTGGTGTTGTGTTCGTCGATGAGCTCACGGCCGCCTGCAAGAGTCATTAGGCATGTGCGGGAATGTGTGTTAGTGCAAGGTTTTCCTGGGTGCTGTGCTAGGCCAGCAGCTGGCCATAATGTCTATTATGATAGTGGAAATGGGTCAAAAATGCATTTTCATGCCGCTCCACTTGCTCAATTTCACACACACACACACACTGAGATTGTTTTTGCCTGCGTATGTTTTCATCAATTTGCATTTTTTCTTTCCCCCCCTACCTGTGCAGCAGTCGCGAATTGTTGGAATTTGGATGGTGACGCTTTCACCTCCTCGATCAGCTTATTCTTCAGATTGGCAAACATGACGACCCACTTGCTGCACTACTTGTTCACGGCCTGCGCTACCTGGTTTAATCACAATTTAATTTTTAATTAAAAAACATCTAACATAAATAAATACGTGTCTGCAGAACTAGCGATGTGCGATTTGTCGATAAATATACCGTCTGACCATCAGGAATATACCCAAATATACCGTAAATATAACGATGAAAAAACGGCTAGGTTTTAAAAGGTGAAATCCAAGAGATTAACTGCGAAAAATAGTACTGTTTGCTAAATTCTTCTTGTTAATCCATTCCAGCGCAAAACTTCTTCAAGATTCATAATTTTCGTGGAGTGTATTTTAATACCAACTGGTCAACAATGGGCTAATCCTACTCTGTCCATAATCGGAAATCAAATTCCACGATTTTGATGTTCGGTTTAATATTACTAGCTAGCTAAAGCCCCCAGCCGTTAACACATAATTTTATCCGATTGGTGAATCAATTTCCTACTGAAAGGCTAATTTTGAGTACTTCATTTTATTTAATTGTGCGTAAAATGAGGATTAAGCAAAAAAGGTGAAAGCATAAACGTAAGTGAGTATGAAATGTTACTTTATTTGAACACTTGTTGCTTGTCAACCGGTAGTATGAACCGTTGTATACCCTATTTTCCTTAATTAACATTCAAATACTGTTTTACAAGCTGTTTTGAAATGCCTATTCATCCGCAGAATGGCGTTGTGATAGATGTCTGTTAAAGTGTGCGAGGTGTAATCTAAGAGTTACAATCACCGACTTCAACCCCTTCTGGCCGATTTCAGTGTGGGATGGTCCTCCTTTGTGAGATTTCAGTAATATCCACTACGTGTCTTTCCGTTTTCCGGCACATCTTTTTGCTCGAGAGATGAATACTCCCTGGTTTCACCAATGGGAAATTATGGAAATATTGGCTTCACATAACAATAGACTGCTAAATGTTTACGTCTTAAAAAACTGAATGAAAGCTGAGCCAGTTTGCTAATTAATGAATGACTCGCTTTTTTATCAGCTCAAGCTTGTGTTTGGGGGAATTTGTTTTTTCAAATGATGGAAATGCGGCATCTTAAACACTCTGCAGCTTTAGAGTCTGTGTAGCTACTTAAAATATTATTTTTGGTGGTTTACAAACTCAATTAGAATCCGGAGATACTCATTCTGATGAAGGCATATATTAGCGTAGTAGTAGTATTAAACCCATAACCAGTTGTAGCACGAGGCCCGATAATAACTTGAACTGGCTTCCGAGTTGACTATTCTGTACCTGCGGGTGGGCATACCACTAGAGTAATATTAATGTTTAATTAAAGCCTTTAAAATATCTGTGTTTTATTCATGTAGATTTTACAAACATTGAAAGTTGGTGAGTGTATAAACTGCGCACTGATCGGATAGGATAGGAGAAATACAATTGAGTGAAATGCATTTAAGTAAATGTCTCGATTTATCACGTGTCTGTGTGATTTGAGAGCTTTCTCCGAGCTGGCGCTCACTTGTGCAGGTTCTCGAGGAAGTTCTTGTGGCGCTGAATGGCCTCCTCGTGCTCCTTGATCTGCTGATGGTGGAACTCGGCCTGGTGGATCTGGTCGTTCTTCAATTTCTCCAACTGGCTCTTTTGCTACAATAAATTTCAAACAGAAACAGGCATAACAAAAGATTAGAAAATATTTTACTCAAACTGAAAATAGCAAATCGTAAAAAAGCTAATTACGGGTTAGCTTAGACCGTTCCGCCCCCCCACCGGGGCCGCTCATCAATTATTGACAACGCTGCCTGTCATCATTAGCCACCTGCCCCGTCCCTACTTTGGTCACAATATAAGACGAGAGGCTTTGGCCGCTCCACAGTGTCTACAATTCCCCGCTTCGTCAATGTCACGAGCAAATATTTGGTAGCACACATTTTTAGCACGTCAGGCTAATGCAAATTACCTTACCCTTGGGAGACCAAAGCTCTGGCACACAAGAGAAGAGATCGAAGCAAGCCAAAGTGTTGTTGTAAGTGCGTTAAAAGTGGCTTGGGATAAACCATCTGCCGGGTTTAAGAACCTGAACCAGGTGTGTATCTGTGTGTCTCAGCATCACCTATAGGTGTAGGGTCTGTTCTGCGCGTGCTCATCTTCTGAGCCAGTTTTCAGTTTATAGTTGGCCGCACGACTGTAAACTGGCATCGCCGATCCGACGAGCAAGCAAAAGGTGGCAAAGAAAGTGTTCGGGAAAGATTGGGGTCAGTGTATAATATTATTGCGCATTTCAGGCCGCATCTGGCCAAATATTAAATACAATAAAATTCAGTATTCTGTGGAACTCAAACAAGACTAATTGAGAGTCAACAACAGCTAGACAAAGCTCTCCCTTTCGATTATACGTTTCCGCGCAGCTCTCGCTTTTCCCCTAACACTTATCAGGTCCCCAAAAAATATTCAAAGGCAAGCCAAAGTTGATAAGAGGCCCCTCATTTACGGACGAAAGCATTTAGCCCACAGCCGAGCTACAGAATGGAGCATCTCCGGCTCTTGCTGATCGCCCTCTCGCTGACCCTGGCCCATTCGGCCTACAACAGCGCAGGCGGACCACGGCCACCCCGTCCAGTGCGCACTGTTGAGCCGCTTTTGCAATGGCAGCAGCTGGAGTACGGCTTCCCCACTGCCCAGGATCGGCAGGACGCGCAGACAGCTGGAAATCTGGTGCCCGAGAACGGGACCCCCATCGATGTGCAGGCGCAGCATATGGCCAATGGCATGGTGCGGGTGTTCACAACGATTCCAAGATTCGCCAACGGCATCCCCTACACGCTGGCGACAGTCTCCGATCAAGTGGGAGGGAAAGGCCCTCTGCTGCAACCCTATCCCAGCTACTCCTGGCACAACGGCCATGGCGAAAACTGTGATCTGATCACCTCGGCCTTCCGTGTGGCTGTAAGTAGTTAATGCTACGATCCTACTACGAATTGAATGTTCGTTAAGACAGAAACCCCTCTCTCCGCCAGATCACTGAGTGCCATCAGATGTGGGTGATCGACTCGGGCATAATTGGAACCGATCAGCTGTGCCCACCACAGCTCCTGCAGTTCGACCTGAAAACCGATAGCCTCCTGCACCGCTACCGTTTCCCCAACGACACCTACATTCCACGGGGCTCGCTCTTCATCACGCCGAGTGTCCTGGTGCAAGATCCACCACCACGCGGCACCTGCAGCCGCACCATGATCTACATTGCTGATGTCAACTACCACGGTCTGGTCGTGTACGACCACCAGGCGAATACCGCCTGGCGAGCCGAGAACCGCTTCATGTACCCCGATCCGGACTATGGGCGCCACACTATTGCCGACGAGAGCTTCGACCTGATGGATGGTCTCTTCTCGGTGAACAACGACAAGCGCAACCTATACTTTCATCCGCTGGCCAGCGTTGGAGAGTATGCCGTGCCCCTAAGTGTGCTCAACCGAAGGGAGAACTGGGCGAGCGGAGTGGAGGCCATGGCGGATCAGTTTAAGCTACTGGGCAGGCGCAAGAGCGAGTGCGCCGCCTCGGCCATCGACAGCATGAACAATGTCTACTGCGTCACTTTCAATCCCATCAAGCTGTTTGTGTGGAATGTCAACACTCCCTACAGCTCGCGGAATTTTGGCGCCCTGCCAGCCAAGTCCGAGGATCTGCAATTCGTCAGCGGCATGAAGGTGGTCCGCAATCCGGCCGGCTACGAGGAGCTTTGGCTGCTCTCCAACCGCTTTCAGGTAAGTGGATAACATGGCTCACTCTTGTGGATTGACTAAATATAACTCTTTGTTGCAGAAAATTTCTGCGGGAACACTGAACTCCAACGAAGTGAACTTCCGGATTTTGCGCCGCAAACTGGATGATGTCCAGGGCGGCGTGTTTTTTGCCAGCGATGATGAGCTCTCCAACCGACTGGTGTTCAAACCATGAGGGGGAAATCAATTGCTAATATAATTCGTTATACCCCTTACTTAATTCGTGCTTTGGACCAAGTTACAAAAACATATCACTTAGGAAATGTGGTCCTTATTTTCAAAGGAAGAGTCCAGAAATACTTTCCAAATTTGATGGTTGTACGATCACATCACTTTACGGCGTACATTGTACCAATTGTCATAAAAAATCATATTTTTTAGAATTGTAAGAGATTATTTGATTGATTAGCGCTGAAACATACTACTACCCGACTAAAACTGGTTGATTCGAGTAGTAGCCACAAGACCTAGGCTTGAACTTCGGATAATCTCATCCTGACAGTCGCATCTTTAAACTTTATATAATCCTGATAAATAAGGCCTATATACATCATACATGCATCTGATATGGTAACGTAACAAAATTAGTTTCAGCCCAGACTCCACTGTATGTACTCGCGTTATTCAATTACGAGTCTCTTGCGGCACCACAATTGTCGCAAAGTTCAGGTTCGTGGTTATCACCAGATGATTATGCAAGGTTTTCACTGTGGTTTCAGCAGCGGCGTTGTCTCAACGTGATTGAAAAGGGGTACCAATTCTATTGGCGCACCGCGCTGGTCATAGCCGTTCCAGATTTGTGCGATTTGTCTGCTGACAAAACCGAAACTGGATTGTAAATCGAATTTAATAACAAATGGACAATTGATAACAATTAATGGGCCAATGAACCGTTTGGACGTCATGGCGCATGGCTGTGGAAGCCAAAATGGGTGGAGTGCATAATTATCCAGCACTAGGAACTCGTTTTTTGAAATATGGACACAAATACAAGCTACAGTCAAGTCAACGAGAATTTCAATGCACAATGTTTGTGTGCAATTAAACCAGTTGCAAAAGTTGACCCGATTGGCCTGCTGCTGGTGGTAGACGGAGACGGATTAGAAAGACATGGGCCAGTAAGTGGCAGCGCATGCGCAGTCTCTGTTTGGAGTTGGAGTGAAGCACACATCTCGCGAAAGTGAAAGGATTACAGCATGGTACAGCATTTGATAACTTTCGGCTTCTGCCTCAGGTTCCTACTGGCTGCATCCGCACAGCATGTGCAGACCCAGGCCTTGGACAGTGTTTATCAGGCATACAATCTGGAGTTTGCCTTTCCCTCGGACGTCGAGCGGGATAGAGTGCTGCGTGAAGGTCTCTACGATCCCGCCAATGTGATTCCCATCGATGTAGACGTGTACTATAAGCGTAAGACTCGAGACAAAATTCCCATAAGACAACTGTGATTGCATCCCTTTTGTTCAGATGGCGATCCAACGCCCTCAATCTTTGTGACCATTCCGCGCTTTGCCAAGGGTGTGCCCTATTCTCTGGCCTATGTGACCAACGAGATGAAACCAAATGGGACCCTTCTCCAAGCCTACCCCAGTTACGAGTGGCACAAGACTCACGGCGCCGACTGTAACGGCCTGACCTCTGTCTACAGGACTCAGATAGACGACTGCGGACGGCTGTGGATCCTGGACAGCGGCGAGATCGACTTTGTTCAGCTGTGTGCCCCGCAATTGTATGCCATTGATCTGGAGAATGGCCAAGTGGTGCATCAGTACCGCATGCCAAAACGCCTCTACAAGGAGGGCGTCAGCCGCTTTGTCATGCCCACCATTGAGCTGGATTCGCGCAATTGCGATGTGGGATTTGTGTACATGGCGGACTCTATCGGAGACGGAATTGTGGTCTACGATGTGGCCGCCCAGCAGTCGTGGCGCATCGAGAACAAGTATACCTATCCGCATCCCGATTTCGGAACTTTTACCATAGCGGGAGATAGCTTCCAGCTGTGGGACGGCACTGTGTCGACCACTCTAACGCCGCATGCCTTGGGCGTGAAGCGAATGATGTACTTCCACTCCCTCTCCAGCGACTGGCAGATGGCCATCCCCCTGGATGTGGTCAACAACGGCAGCAACTGGAAGCTGAACGACGTGAGCGCCGCTCTGGATCAGTTTGTGGTCCTGGGGAAGCGGGGCAGTCAGTGTGTGGCTGCTGCCATGAGCGAGACGGGAATGCTGCTCTGTGGCCTGGTAAAGCCAGCCAGCATTCTGGCCTGGAACACCCAAACCCCCTACACGCATCAGAATCTGGTTATGCTCATCGAGGATGAGGAGCGACTCCAGTTCACGAGCGGTCTAAAAATCGTGCGGAATCACGAGGGCAAAGAGGAGCTATGGGCACTATCGAACCGATTGCAAAAAGCATTTGGGGCCGGACTCAACTTCAAAGAGATCAACTTTCGCATACAGAAATGCGGGGTTCAAGAGCTGCTAAGCGGCGGGCCGTGCTATTAATTGGGATTGCCGTTAGTCTACCAAATAAAACTGATACGAATTTGCTTGTTTTTCTCGTTCCACTCACCTTCTTGTAGAAGTACTCCTCCTCGCGGGCGGCCTCCATCTTGCCAAAAGCGCCGCCAGCCTCGCGGATGGAGCCACCGCCGCCACCGCCCCTGCCGGCTCCACTGCCGAGATCACCCAGCTGGCTACTCATCTTGGCCACCCTGCAGGAGAATCAAATGATAGTCCAATCAGTTCTTTGAGAAGTGTTACGTAACAAATGAAGTAACCGTATACACACACACATACACACACAAACACAGGCGCACAGAGGGAAAGCCGGCCGCTGTTGCGGGGTCAAACGTAAAGCCATTTAATTCGAAATTGTTTATCTTATCGCATATTGACGAAAACTGCCATTCGGAGCATACATACATAACAATTGGTTGGGAAGTCTCCTTCCCATCCACCCAGAAAATGTATATTAACGTGGGTATGTCAGCTAATTAGCAGTTTAGAAACAACTAAATACTTACTGGAGCCCTGCGGGGTAGAGGCGGGAAACGCTACGACGTACAACGAACATTCTTAGTTTTTATTAGACGATCTGAAAAGATTTAACAATTCATTAGTAAGCCCGATGAGTCGCAGTTTACTCCATAGCGACCGCCATCGAAATTGGAGTGCATTCAACTTTGAAAACAGAAAAGTTGAACAAAGACTGCGCACGTCTATACATAGGATAGCGAAAGTCTTTGCCTTTTGTTTACACAAAAAGAGCCATGCATATACGCACAAGCTAATATTTCACAAACAAATGGCTCCCCTTACATATATAAATATAAAAAAAGACCGGGCACCCACTAGCTTACTTGATTTTTTTCGCAAAATTGTATGGCGCAAGTTTGAGCTTTCTAGCAGTGTGACAGCGGACTTAGCGTTGAAATATACCGCCCTGCCCTCAGAAAGATACCGAAATGTACCATCTCATTTGAGGAATATACCGACTAATTTAAGCTCTACATTCCTCGCATTTGATATTCCCTCCAATATTACTAGCTATCTAGCTCTCTCAGCCCTGCCCACATAATTTTATCCAATTAATGAATCTATTTTCTACTCGACAGGCTTATTTGAAATACTTGACTTTGATTTGTTTTTGCCTCAATGTTGGTTCTCAACAACAATAGCGTCTAGTATGATGAAAAACCGACCTTAGCCCACTAAAGCCCCCCCTATTTAAATAGTTCAATTACTTGAGGTAAATGGCGGAAAATATTAACGATTGTAAATTATTTTTGTAGATTCATACCATCTTTCATCTGAACTTAAAAAAAAACAACTATATTTTTCACCTGAACTGCGCTAACATCATTAAATTTTCATTATTTTCGGCGGAAAATTGAGATACCCCCTTGGCTTTTAATAGGTTAATAGTTCTCCGTCAAGGATTGGACACCATATTGCTCAATTTAGAGATTCCGTCGAATATTATTAGCTATATAGAATATTTAGCCATGCCCACATAGTTTTATACGATTGGTAAATCATTTTTCTACTTAACTGGTGTATTCTTAATACTTGCTTTTATTGCATTTTGCGTAAAAAGAGGTTTTAGCGAAATAAGTCAAACAAAAAACAAGCAGCGAAATAGGTCAATCAAAACAAACGAAAAAGGAAATTGCTCAATTTTGATATTCCATTGAATAATGCTGACTAACTAAATCTCTCAGTAATGCCCACATAGTTTTATCCCATTGATGAATACATTTTCTACAAGATTGGATAGTTTTTAATCCTTGCTTTTATTGTATTCATTGTAAAAAAAGATTTTAACCAAAAAGTTCAACAAAAAAAGAGTCGCTATATTGCGTGTAAGCCGTAGTATAGGTCTTTGTATACCCTATTTTGTTAATTGTATATGAAAGTATATATATTGATCGAAGATAAAACCTAACTAATAAAGACCTTTTCTCAAATTGACATTTTTTAGACATATTCATGTATATGATGAGTGTTTTGTATATATATCTCGATCCTGATACCTATTCTTGGTCCCTACAAGAAGACAATAAGCTTTAAAATATCGTTGAAATATTGAAAATAATATTAAATAATATTGATTAATATTAAAATATATTGAAAATAAATTGTTTTTGCCTGGGATGACAAACATATTCACAATTCTATAACATCCATTTCCCCCAGGGTATGTGTGCATGGAATGGGACTCATTGTTCTGAACCGGTTATGACGACTAATTCTTGGTTAATCTTTCTTCCGTTGAATATTCCCAGCTATATAGATCTCTTATTTTTGCCCAGATAATTTTATATGATAGCTGAATCAATTTTGATCAAGATTAACTATTTTTAAGTACTTGCATGTTTTTTATTTTGACAAAAACACGATTTCATCAAAAATGTTCAATGTCGCAGGTTGTGACGTCAATGTTGCTGGTATGTGCAGACTCATTTGTTGTCAATAGGGTATACAAATAGGGTATACAAACGTCCATACCCTGGGGACGTTTGTATACCCTATTTCGTGAATATTATATAAAGATACTGTTTTCCAAGCTGCTTTCAAATGTAATTAATAAAGGCCTTGTTTTAGATTGCATGTTTTGGTCTATTCATGCATTTGATTAGTTATTTGTATATAAAACCTGATCCCTATAGCGATTCTTTGTCTCTGTAAGAGGACCACTAATTGCAAAATATCGTTGAAATACCTTGTAATATACTTACGCATCGATACTTTTGGGCGATAAGTGAAAGATACCGGCGTTTTATTTTAAAAATAATATTATAGACGAATGTGAATGAAATTTAAAATGTTTGTCTTGTCATCGAATTATGCATAATCATTACATTTTGTATTCCATACCTTATTTTCCAATATAAAATTCGGTAATATTTCTGATGCCCTAAATGCCAATGTGATATGGAATGTTTATAGACATCTGCACTAAAGTCTAACCATCAGACTGATTTTTTCTGATCGATTTGGGACCTGTAAATTATACCTCCAGCGCTGGTAACTACCTGTGCTATATACGCGAAGAATGTGGGCTGGTCTCTGTCTGGCTGGACGAGTAGTAAAGTAATGCCGTGCACATAGTGTCTGGCTCTAAGAATTGGTGGATTAGACTGAAGTTTTGGATGGAACAACGGAACAATAAACAAAATGGTGGGCCCCACAATGATAACGATAACGGCAAGATTGGCCAGTTGAAAACGAACATTCTTGCAATTAAAAAAACCGCAAGAGGATGATGCTACTCCAGAATTTGTTTCTTGCCGCAGGTGTATCAAGAATGTTAGATTACTTTTGTTTGCAAACGCACACTTGAATTACAATACACAAATACGAAAACAAAAACACTACACATTAAATCCGCACTAAAACGTTCCAGTTTCCGTTTTTTCATTTATTTTTGGGGTTTTTGTAAAAGTTAAAGTAGAATCAGCGATCTCACTGTGGGGAACGTTGGCAGCTTACTTCTTCTTGGACACACCCACAGTGCGACCGCGACGACCAGTTGTCTTGGTGTGCTGACCACGGACACGCAGGCCCCAGTAGTGACGCAGACCGCGATGGGAGCGGATCTTCTTCAAACGCTCCAAATCATCACGCAGCTTGGAGTCCAAGTTGGAAGAAGTCAGCTGCCAGTACTTGCCATCGATAATGTCCTTCTGTCTGTTGAGGAACCAGTTGGGCACTTTGTACTGCAGAGGGTTGGTGATGATGGTGACAACCTTGTCGACCTAAAAGCGAAATGAAGAAAATTCAATTAGTTGCTGTTCGAAAAGTCTACGGTGTTGGCTTACCTCCTCCTCAGTGCATTCACCGGCACGCTTGGTGAGATCCACATCGGCCTTCTTCAGCACAATGTTCGAGTAGCGACGACCCACACCCTTGATGGCGGTCATGGCAATACCAACTTTGCGCTTGCCATCAATGTTCGTATTCATGATACGAAGGATGTGCTGGAACTTCTCTGGGATAACGAGCGACTGCAAGAAACAAACCCAAAAGTTGCATTACACGAAACACAAACAAAGGAAACAGAAATTGGCAATGTCATCTTCGCAGCAAAAATTTTGCCCTTGTTAGGCTCTTTTAATGCAGCATAAACTTGTCATTGCATACTTCATGCTATGCACTGAACAGTTTCACTTCAGCCTAATGGTTTTGTTCTTTGATGCACCGAGATATTGCAAATTTTTTCGACGACGCACCATTTTTGCCGTTTGTATGAGCCAAATTCTCGAATTGGAAAGAAAGAGAAAGAAAACGGATGTCGTGTTGACGTTGGTTGCAGTGTGACCGCGATATTCCGAGAAAAATATAGGGTCTTACCATCAGAAATATACCGGAATATACCGTCTCATTATGACAATATACCGTAAATATACTGACGAACTTAGCCCACTTCAGCCCCCCGATATAGCCCAACCCTGGTTTTCTGTTAAGTGCCGTTATAATGTAAAGATGATAGCCCCACTAGCCCAGCCCTGGTTTTCTGTTAAGTGCCGTTATAATGTAAAGATGATAGCCCGACTAGCCCAGCCCTGGTTTTCTGTTAAGTGCCGTTATAAGGTAAAGATGATAGCCCGACTAGCCCAGCCCTGGTTTTCTGTTAAGTGCCGTTATAATGTAAAGATGATAGCCGGACTAGCCCAACCCTGGTTTTCTGTTAAGTGCCGTTATAAGGTAAAGATGATAGCCCGACTAGCCCAGCCCTGGTTTTCTGTTAAGTGCCGTTATAATGTAAAGATGATAGCCCGACTAGCCCAGCCCTGATTTTCTGTGAAGTGCCGTTATAATGTAAAGATGATAGCCCGACTAGCCCAGCCCTGGTTTTCTGTTAAGTGCCGTTATAATGTAAAGAGATGCCTGGAATGAATGGTAAATTAAGATGATAATAAGTGCACTTATACAGTATGAAATATTTTAGCTCTCAACTGCGTTGGACAAAACGATTTGGTGTCCTTGCGCATCATTTGCACTATGGCGCGCAACCGAGAGTACAATGTGGAGGAACTGGACAAGTACGGGAACACGGCCTTGCTGAAGGCTTGCTATTTGGGGCGCTTCGAATGCGCTCGCACTCTTTTGGAGTTTGGAGCTAATATTTACGCGGTTAATTACTTTGGACAAAATGCATTAACCTTGGCCACCTACTCTGGGAATTATTCTTTAGTTCGTGAGCTACTGCAACGCCGTTCCTACAAGGATTTTAATCTGTCTTCGCTTATTCCCGCCTCTTGTGTAGCCGCAATGCAAAGCCATGTCGATATTGAAGAATTCTTTATGAAAGTGGATTCAAGTGGTGCGCACGATCAGACGGTGCACGGTAAGTTTATAGCATATACATTTGTATATATTCGCTCATATGCTTTCTTTTTGATAGGTCTTGGCGTATACGATTTGCACGAAATGGTGGAAAAGGCTAAGAAGATAGATCAACAAATGCAGTCCTCTCAGCCCACCTTTATCCATCATCGCTTTCGCTAACTGCCTTTGAAAAACTTTAAGACCATAACAACAATAAAACTATTATTATTCATGTCATTATTCATTATTTTTGGATGTGCTTATTGCCTTACTTAATTTCTTCGATAGAGGCATTAGAGCTTGATTCTTTGGCTCGGTTTGCAGGGCCATGCGCCGCCCTGCGCAAATAGTAAGATATTGTAAGTTTAAGATTTTGGGCAGATATGGTGTCTTTCCACTCACCTTGTTGATGGGACACTGAAAATCTCTTGGCCGCTTGCAGCAGTCGACTTCATCGTGCCTTCGGCTGACTGTCAGCAGAACTGATCCTCCGGGCAGCCCTTTCGTCACAGCGCCAGAAGGCGGATATAAAGTCGTTGCTCATGTCTCTACTCCCGCCACTTAAAATGATCAGGCCGGATACACACCGTAGTTCTGCTTGTCCTCCAGTAGCATCAGATGCTTGGGGCACGAGCAGACGTCGTAAGTACTGCGTGTCACACCCCTCTGGCTATGCAGTTTTGGAAACAATTTGGGCAAATGTGCCGTGTGATTGTGCAGCACTTTCGCATCCGGTGCCCACACGGCCCGGATGTCGGTGAACTGCGACAGACGATGCAGCTCCGCGGAACGACGCTCTCCGTTGACAGTGATCCACTCCGGTCTGGTCTTGTCATCCAGCCAGTACACAAATGCTCCCAAGGCGGCAATGTTGTTCACTTGCGTGATGTGCATGGAAACAAAGGTTTTCCAGTGAGAGGGAACAGGGGATTACACATGTGTTCAGAGGGTCGGGTCTCCATATTGGTTGCTTACTTGTTCTTTCCTTTAAGGTCTATCACATTGATTCACTTGCCATGGGCATAGTAGACTGTTGTAGTCGGACTGTTGGTCCAGGGCCAGCGCCGTGACTCCTTCCAGCTTGTAGGCCAGCTCCACACGCTCATTGCCTTCGAATCGGGCCCGAATGATGGCCTGATGGCTGCTGACATCTGTCCAGAAGAGCAAACGCTTCTTGGCATGCACGGCAATGTTGCGAGGCTTCTCCGAGTCCCCGGTATCGTTGACGCCTACGGATTCACCCAGGAAGCTAAAAGAGGCAACGCTTTGGGAACACAATTGTGCGGATGAATCGGAGAGAAAGAGATATTCACCTTGTCACGTTAATGCTGTTGGAGTAGGAGCAGGTCCAAAAGAGCAGCCGCCCAATGATGTCGATTGCAATGTCGAACGGCTGTCAGGAGTTGGCCAAGAGGCTCACCTTTGTGCCATTTGCTGAGAACGCTTGATGCTGTGACTCCTGCCTTCGATCTTGAAAAGAAAAAGAAGGATTAGGGATATTAGGGACACCGCGCTCAGCTTCTGCTAATTCTCCTTACCCAGTAAATGTAATGCGAGATCGGATCATAGTCCTTGGCCAGCTGGTAGTGGGTGGGGCAGACACAGGTCATGCCCCGTCTGCGGGCTGGGCCAGGCACAGGTGGGAGCAGCTCCCGTTGTTGATCTTGCACGTATTAGCCCCACCGGTCGCTTGTCGTTACACAAAAGCAGCGAAGTGATGTAAGTCATGCCCGAGTGGACGAGGCTGCGGTTCTCGCCCGTCGTCTTGTGCACCCGCTCAATGTCGCCGGTGTTCCAGTCGCTCCAGTACACGTAGTCCTGATACAGGACTGCTGCTGCACATAGCAGCCATTGAGAAAGGCCCGGAAGATGCACTTGGTCTTCTGGTCAGTCCAGTAGATGCGCCTCTCCGCCACCGACACGTCCAGGGCGTGCGCATCGCCCACATCCTTGAAGGGTATCGCTCGTCGTCGTGGTTCCGTTCCCGTCGCGGTACTCGGTCGAGAGAACAGCAGGAAGGCGGCAGGCACAGGTACAGGCAGAGGTGGAGCAGGCCCCATTCCCCACGGCTCACGCACGTTCTCCACGGTCTTTCCATCGCACCAGACGCCAGAATCCTGAAGACGCCGGTGTCCAGATGCCGTCCAGGGTCTGTTCTTTTTCCTCCTTTTTCAATTGTTTTCCTATGAAATTCGTCTTCTGGTGGCTGAGGCAGGGAGTAGTGGGCCACAACTGCGCCAAAGGGCGCCGCTGGTCGTTTCGGCATCGCTGCAGACTCTGTGGCTCGACTTTAACTGTAAATGCGAAGAAGGTGGAAAGCACGGAATAGCCGTGGAACAGCGGCTGTTTTTGGGGAGTGCCCTGTGACATCAGGACTTACAGCAGCCTCTATAGGCATACGCACAAGGCACTTTTGTTCATACAACAGTAGCATAAACAAACGAGTATCATTCCAATTGCTCAATTCTTTATTCCGTCGAATATTCCCAGCTATATAGAACATTTAGCCATGCCCACATAATTTTATACGAGTGATGAATCAATTTTCTACAAGATTGGATAGTTTTTAATCCTTGCTTTTATTGTATTTATTGTAAAAACAGGGTTAAACGAAAAAGTCCAACCAAAAAAGAGTCGCAATGTTGCTGGTATTTAAAGACGTGATGCGTGTATAGCCCTTTGTACACCCTATTTCGCTAATTTTATATGAAGATCAAACGAAATTTATTAAGACCTTTTCTCAAATTGATATTCTTTAGACACATTCAAGTACATTATTAGTATCCTGTGTATATTTATGTCGATCCTGATACCTACGGAGCCTTGGAAGACAAAAATAAATCAGTTCTATAACATCCATTTCCCAGGGTATGCAAAATGTTGCTCTATTCGCGCAAAGACATAATGTTATCCGATTAGTGAATCCTTGACTGGTTTATTTTAAATATTTGCTTTTATTCGATTTCTATATACCCTTATATGGGCACCAGGGCTGCTGAAATACACGTAGGTTGGCAGCTCGATCATTAATGATCCTACATATCGACAAGACCTTATCGATACTATCTGCGGCATTGTACATCGCTATCCCGCTCATTTTTGCCCGCCTGATCGATGTAATTTTTTGCAACACGTTCGTCACTCGATTTTAAGTCACTGCTTCAGCCACATTATCCATATTGGGTTGTACAATTGCACAGCAATTCCATCAGCAGCCAGAGCCATAGCACACACTACATCGATTCGCATAAATTGCATTTCGTATTATTAACCTAGAGGCATCATGTTCGAGGCACGTTTGGGACAAGCTACAATTCTGAAGAAGATTCTCGACGCCATCAAGGATTTGCTTAACGAGGCCACCTTCGACTGCAGCGATTCGGGGATTCAGGTACATTGACACACAAAAACCATTTTCGGAGCAACTGAACTAATTTTTCAACGCCCACCCCACCCCAGCTGCAAGCCATGGACAACTCTCATGTGTCTTTGGTGTCGCTGACGCTGCGATCCGATGGATTTGACAAGTTCCGCTGTGATCGCAATCTTTCAATGGGCATGAATCTGGGAAGCATGGCCAAAATTCTGAAGTGTGCCAACAACGAGGACAACGTGACGATGAAAGCGCAGGATAATGCGGACACAGTTACCATCATGTTCGAGTCGGCTAATCAGGAGAAGGTCTCCGACTATGAGATGAAACTAATGAATCTCGATCAGGAGCATTTGGGCATACCGGAAACGGACTTTTCTTGTGTAGTCCGTATGCCGGCCATGGAGTTTGCTCGCATTTGCCGTGACTTGTCGCAGTTCAGCGAATCGGTAGTCATTTGCTGTACCAAAGAAGGTGTCAAATTCTCGGCCAGCGGTGATGTGGGTACTGCCAACATTAAGCTGGCCCAAACTGGCAACGTGGATAAGGAGGAGGAGTCCGTCACCATTGAAATGCAGGAGCCAGTGACGCTTACATTCGCTTGTCGCTACCTGAACGCCTTCACAAAAGCCACTCCATTGTCCACCCAAGTGCAGCTGTCGATGTGCGCAGATGTGCCCCTGGTGGTGGAGTATGCAATCAAGGATCTGGGCCACATACGCTACTACCTGGCGCCCAAGATCGAAGACAACGAGACATAAGGCAGGAGTATACTGTCTCCTCTCATATTTATATCACTTTATGAATCATCCTCCCACGTACAAGCTCATACCTAACTTTTAAGAATCAGCGAAACCGCTTCTTTTGCTCAATAAAAACAAACCTGTAATAATAATAGCCTCTGGTTCTCAATCTGAGCCTAAAATTGCAAATATTTAATGGCAATAACCGTTTATTCGCATACATATATAACGCTGCACTGGGGTATTGTTTAGACAGAGATTACAAACGTATTTAAAGTCAAAGATAGATTTGTAAGATTTCCCGGGGGATAGGCAAAGAAAACTAAGCATATCTCCAGCATTTTAGAAATATATGTAAGTATAACGTGCTAGCCTCCATAGAGTAGAGTAGTGTATATAGTGTATGCATGCACAAACTATTCGGGGATGTGAATGCATTGCTTATACATTTATATGCATCGTATCAGGCACATATTCGGCACGCTTTACATTAAATGACTCTTAGCGAGTTTGTGCCTGGAACATATTTTGTACATTGTACATACATATATGTAATAAATATTGCATGTTTACATGCTTCCAATACTTGAATAATTGGCTTGCTTATCCTAAAAGCCTTAACCTACGTATCTATATTTGTATATGTATAAAAAATAACAAAAATCTGTGTCAAACCGTATAAAAAGTGTATAAAAAACGCTTGAGATTGCAGAAATAAAACATAAAGCAAGTAAAGTGCGTATAGCAAAGAATATCTTGTACTTTCCTCCAACAGATGTAATTGGTTGGAAAGATCCACTGGTGGAGATCGACCGAATAACCTTTACGTGCGAATATCCACCTCACTGGATCAAGTGGATTATATTCAACTTATGAATCTATAGAAATTGCTCTATGGCTGGAGTGGTGGAATCCTCACTGTCAGCTGTTCTGTTCTTGTCACAATATCTGGGTTTTTATGTTACCTTGAGTAGTGCCTGCAATAATTTGATGCAGTGCTTGGACCCATCCATAGCCTCATTTGATAGCTAAGAAAGGAACACCATTAGTTTGTGCATTTGGTAGGTTGCAATTGCTAGAAGTTGATAAATACCATAGTAAAATTTAGAAATCCATGTGGGAGACCCTCCAGTATTTCCAAGTTTACTTGGCGTCCCAGCCGTTTAAGCTTTTTAGCAAACATGACGCAGTCATCAAGACAGGGATCCATGTTCAGGGTCTGCACATAAAATCATAACAAGTGGATTAATCATATACCATTATTTCGTGCTGTTAATTCTTTTTTAAACTTACGAGAATCTTTGTCTCTGGCAGTTGGGATAGCCAGTCGTCGGTAGCCCAATAGGGCGATAAAAACGGATCCTTAGGCACGTCGAAGGCAAACTCTTCGCTGGGACTGCGGGCTATCAATGCGTCCATATTGCGAACATCCTGTGGGCTAAGAGCACTGCTGCCATGAATTTCGTAAGATTTTGTGCAGCGCGACAGGGTGTTGGTTATATTGTTGACGGCTTCTTGCCACCGACCCTGCAGCGTATCTATCGCAATGAGGTCACGTCCTGTCTCTACCAGTATGTTTTCGTCAGAAATAATCTTGCCAAGGCCATTGGACTTCACTTGTGGTGCTGGAAGAGTTGTCTCCTCGGTCGCCTCCATGGTGGCCGTGTCAATGAGATATTTATCCAAAAACTGATCAATATAAGCTGCGGATTCGAGATCCTTGGGAGGGTCTGCTGAAATCTCAACAGGGTAATGGACAATGGGCTGCGAATCGTCTTCGAAAGACACGCACGAGCTGTTATCACCCTCGCTGTTCGGCAAATCGGTTCGTTCCACGGCCTGGCTGTGGTACGATGCCGAGGCACTGGCAAAAGTATCACTGCTCTCGTCATCTTCATCGGGGTTTGCTTCCAGAGATGTTAGTGTACTTCTGGCCAATGAAGTACGCCGACTGGAAGTTGCACTTCCCAGGGATGATTTTGGAGCATTGCGTATTTGGGCCGCCTCCTCCACATGCTTAGCATTCAGCTGCAAAGTTTCCTTGGCGGGGGCGGCATAGGCACGCAGACACCGCATCATGAAGCCAAAAGGTAGCAAGGGATCCATGAGGCACAGCAAACGTGCTGGACTCGGCACAAAACTGACGAGAGTCGGACAGTAGGCCAGAAACAATCCATCCGGGATACGCACACCCTGCTCAATGCATTTGAGAGCCACTCCGATGGAGAGATTCGCACCAGCGGAGTCACCAGCACACACAATTCGCTCAGCTGTCGTTCCCAGGTGCTCGGCATTCTTCAAGAGCCAACAGTACGCATAAAATACTTCCTGAAGGGCTCGCGGAAAGGGAGCTTCCGGTGCTAGACTGTAGTCCACCGAAAGTATGGGGCAGTCCAGAGCTACAGCCCAATCGCGAAGATAGAGCTCGTGAGATTTTGATGATTGGGCCACGAAGCCACCACCATGGCAGTGAAACAATATTGAACGACTGGGTGGAGTGGGCTTGTGCCAACCGCGATAGCGTCCTTCGCCTAGCATTCCAGAGCGTCGCTTGGCGCTGAGCAGCCGTACTGAAATGGGCAGACCCGGTCCCAGATGAGCACTGGGAACTGGTATGTCCACAAATTGAATGGCATCCTCATCGTTGCCTTGGTTTTGGTTTACATCGCTGCTGTTTTGCTGCTGCTGCTCACTCGCCTTAAAGTTCTTTCGTCGCGGTAATTGAAACGGCTCCGCCGGCAGCTCGATTAGCCGATTCACCTTAATGGAGGTGCCCACGATGCTGGGCAATTTGTGCATTAGCTCCGACTCGGCCAGAAACCAGAAGGACTTGCAAAAGTCAATTTTTGCATTCTGCGAGATGTTGACAATACGCCGGGCTCGTAGCTCTGGGTTCATCAGGTACTTGCCACTGGTCCAAAGACTGCGCGTGGTTTTCACAATAGTCCCATCATCCGCCCGTGAGTAATAGGACTCGGAGTAGCTGGCCATGCTGATGCCCAGGAAGCGTAGAATACCACGTATGGAGTCGCCGTACTGGAATCCCAAGCAACGTCCATAGAAACAATACTGATTGATGGTGTCGCCCAACTCGAAGAGCTGCTCCGCAGTGTGGCTGCCGCAAGCAAACAGATCTCCTGTATTGGCCGACCATTGCCGCAGTATGAGGAGATACTGCAGGCAAGTACATATCGAGGAAAGCAGCTGCGAGCAGGCCTCTACTTCCTTCATGTAGACCTTCTTCCGGAAAAACATAGTGTTGCGTGTGGCGAGCAGTTGCTTGCATATGTTGATGCCATGTGAAATGCATGCATTGGTTACGTACACGAAGCTGCGATACCCATTCCCTGGTGTCTGTTCATCAAAGTCGTACTCATGGGCAAAGACCTCGATTTGCAGGACGAGTCGATTGGCAAGCACTATAAAGTCCTGCCAGGCAATGTGGGCGGCATGCAAGCGTTGGCCAAATTCAGTGTGATCTTTGGCAAAGAATGCGGCGTGTTCCTGGCAAGCAACAAACAGGCTTCGGTACGAAGTCTGCAGTTCGGCGGGTACGTCTGATAGAGGTGGTGTCGGTTTTGGCGCCTCTTTCCCATTGACATGGTTTATTTTATCCTCTTCGTGCGCCAGTTTCAGATTGTCATCAAATTGTGCATTCAATTTGTGGCTGGCCAGCTCGGCAGACGCCGCGTCAATCATTGTGCACTGTCGAAGCAAAAAAAGCTTTATTAGCTACATTTAACCATATAGATAATCAATACTGCTTCGATTACTATCATTTACTACCGGACAAAGGCTTAGAGGAAGCGACAGAATATGATTGAACTGATTCGGTTTGGCCGAAGGTCGTTGGCCAGTACCCACTGACGTTAATTAGGAATGGGCTACATATGAAGTCACCATTGCGTCTGGCGGATTATAGTACTTTGACCCGATATAAGGATTAGAAATGCATCTTGTTCTCAGCAAGAGCATTGAAAACTTTCACTTGGTAACTACGCACTTCACAAGCCCACACATAATTCAGACACTTTAATTGTTGCCCTTTGTCTGAATTTGATCTTTCATGGACCAATACACTTACAGATTATGTGCTCTCGTTGTTTCCAGCCTATTTCATTTTTGATTTGTGTACCTAATCGGTTTATAAACTATTGTTAATCTGATTTTGTTACAAGACTCCCCAGCACCAAATTAACCGACTTGCAGGCCAGCAGTGCCCCCAGAAATATACCAAAATATACCGTCTCGTTTTAAAATATACCATACATTTCCAGTTCTATTATATGTACATCTTACTCATTTTTGATATTCCGCCGAATTATACTAGCTAGATAGATCTCTCAGCCCTGCCCACATCATTTTATCCAATCAATGAATCTATTTTCTACTTGACTGGTTTATTTTAAATACTTGCTTTTACTGTATTTTGACTCAAACAAGGTTTAAAAAACAAGTTCAACAAAAAACCAATGTAGTTCATACGTAGCAAGTCTGTAGTTGGCGTGTAGTTACCATGTAAAAACAATTAATGTAATGGAAATGGTTTTTGCTATTTTGTAAACAATGCAATAAACATTACAGGCTTACAGGAAATGGATTTTATAATCGGAATGAGTTCAAAGTTGAGGGTCTTAGCTAGCCAGTAATATTCAGCCGAATATCAAAAACAAGGAATATGATGCAACTTCAATACAATGAATTCGTTAGTATATTTACGGTATATTTTTGAAGTGAGACGGTATATTTTGGTATAATTCTGAGGGTCGACAGTACAAATTTCGCAAAATCTTTTTGTTTATAATAAATGCGAATGGAAGGGAATGCTTGCAGTTGGATCAGATAAAAACGGATCATGAGTGTCAGCATTGTGAAATACTATGGAAGCCAGCTCGGAAAATGTGGATACTGCACAGGCATTAACTGCAGCAAATCCAATGGTAAGAACAGAAGACCGGACCAGGTGCAATGACTCAATTTGTTGTTGCTTTTAAAGGTATGCATGCATATCGCTTGGACTGCCAAGACTACCAAAATCTCATTGATCGGGGCTGGCGCAGATGCGGGAACTACTGCTATAAGCTAAAGAACAAGGAGACCTGTTGCCCCTGTTATACCATCAAATGTGATGCATTGGAATTCAAGCTGACGAAGTCCAACAAGCGAATACTTAGACGTATGAATCGATTTTTGCGTGATGGCAAACGTGACCCGGTCGAGCAGGCGGCACGCGCAGGAAATGAGGATGACGTAACTGCGAGTGTGGATGCACCTGCCAGCGAGCCGCAGCCTCAGATGCCAGATAAGAGTCCAGCTGTAATCAATGTGGAACAGGCTGTGTTACTCGCAAAGGCTCAAAAATCAAAAGCAAAGCCGGCCAGAGCTGCACAGGTGCCATTAACCCAATCGCCATCGCAGGGATCCACCAAATGTGGGTATCCTTTCACTGATCTGCATAAATATAGTTTCTAATATCCTCTTCAATAGCTGCGGCGGTGATATCAAATAAGCCGTGCAAGAAAGCCAAGCAGATGCGCTTGGAACGCCGGCAGGCTAAGTTGGGTGATACCGCACAGCAATCATCACAGAAAGCATTCACGCAGGAGAAGAGTTTAACTGACTTTTTATCGGCAACCAGCGAAACAAACAAGCATCATCTGAAGGTGAGTACATTCATAGAATATTTATTTGACCGTTTGCAGAACTTAGCCTGGTTAGCGTGAATTTTCTATTTTTGTGCTATGTATTGTTTGTTTAGTTCGTGTTTGACCCTGAGTATTAGTCTCCCTATATGTAGACACACTGTGTTTGTGCTGTTTGTGTTCTTACAGATCGTTTTGGTCGATTCCTCAGACACACAGCATACGTGTGCCGAGGAGGTACTAGCACTGTACCGAAAATATCAAGTAGTCATACACAATGATAATCCTGCACGCCTCACCCTAGCTAGTATGCAGCGGTTTTTGATCAAATCTCCCCTTAAGGTAATTAAATATATATGAAAAATCTATCCGCAGTTGAGTTTGGTACACGTCTATAGCGAGGAATTTAAACGGACTCTACCCGAGAGCTATGCGCTGTACAGAAAGTATCAAATAGCGATACACAATGATCTGCCCAAGGATCGGAGGGCCTACCAGGATCATCTGCAGGTGTCGCCCATGAAGGTTGCTACACAACATTTGATTTTAAATAACCCTCATATATTTATCAATATATTAAACTTTAGTTTACTTTGATTCACTTCATTGTAGAACGAAAAGCCAGATGATGGGCCCGAAATGGGCTATGGATCGTTCCATCAGCAGTATTGGCTCGATGAGAAGTTAATTGCCGTGGGCGTTATTGATATCTTGCCTGGGTCGGTTAGCTCCGTGTACTTCTTTTACGATCCAGACTACAGTTTTCTCTCGCTGGGAACATATGGCTCGCTGAGGTAGATATTCCAAAAAATGATTTAAAACGATAAAGTACCAATTCACTTCGTGTGGTTGTTTTTGTAGGGAAATCGATTTCGTACAGACGATTGCTGCCACTACGCCTGCCCTGAAATATTACTATATGGGCTTTTACATACACTCCTGTCCGAAGATGCGCTACAAAGGAAAGCTGTCTGCCTCATATTTGCTCTGCCCAGAGACTTACGTGTGGATACTCCTCACCGACGGTAGGTCTCATGCTACCATCCCATCCCTCTCGGCACTGATAACTAACGACAATTGCATTCAGTCATTCGTTCTAAGCTAGATAAAAACAAGTATCAACGCCTAAATGAAGATGCAGCTGCTAGAGATGTAAACGAGTTCTTACTTGAGCATTTAGAGGAAGTACTGCTTCTGCTCGACGCCACAACCTGCATGCAGTATAAGGATTATGTTCAGGTACAGCTCTTCTCATTGTAAATCCTCTACAAGCAAGCTCTTGTTATTGAATGATTTGCTTTAATCTTTTTCACAGATTACTGGCACTGATAGCGATCGCGTCGAGATTATTGAATACAGCGAGCTAGTGGGAAAAGTATGTGCGCATCGCATGCTTTATGTTAACATGGCCTGAGAGCCAATTTTATTTGTTAATCTGTTATCTATCTGTTCTAAATCAAAATTTATCAGTCAAAATGCCTCTTACTATTATTTCTGCTTAAAAACTAAAGGAAATTGTTAATTAATATGTTCTAAGACATGCCAAGATATATGATATGTATTAAAAGTGAATCTTCATGTGAAAATCGATCTAATAAACATGGAATTCATTAGGAAATTTTATATCTTTGTGTTGCTTCCTGACAACTTTGGTAAACGTCGGAAAATTAACAGATCTTATCAGAACTCATCTTTTTCGCTTATCTGAAACCAGCAGCTAAATGCATCAATTGAGTTTTATGGGCTGGCAACATCCAAAACCGTCGGATGGTACAAGACAAGTGGATAGCCCGAGGAGATAATATTTATTTTATGGCACACACACATCCACACCGTGAGATAGGCGGCCAGGAAGCTAAAGATCGCAATAAAGCTTAATCTTTGGGAAAAGTTAATTATTTGGCAGACAACTACACTTCATTCAGAACGAATCGGGTTCATTGTCGACTGGAACAGTTCCTCTGCAGCCTAGAAATAAAGTTATCAATAAAAAAAAAATTCGTGCTAATAAAGTGACTTTTTTGCGCTTCTCTGGCTTTTTGCTGGCATTTGTCAAGTGCGCTAATTAAACAAAATATTTAAAAAATGAACGGTTTGCTGAATTTTCACAACAAAGCAAAGGCACGTGTGTTATAAAAGTATTTTAAAATCTTCATTCGGGCTTAGAGCGATTTGGTCGACCAATTTTTAGCTATAATCAACGGCTAAATTTTTAAAGTAAATAAATCATTCTAGCGTCTACTCCTGAATTTTGACAACGTATAGGTGGAGTGAAACTTTAGGAAACAACTGTTAGTCATCGTTTATTGATTCACAATTTAGCACGATTTTGTGATTTTTTGTTAACAATTTTCCCATATTTCAGCGTTTGCACAAATCGCATGCGACTTTTGGCACGCTATCAGCCAGCGGAGCGTACAGAAACAGCAACAAGTCACCCACCGTCAACAACAATTTAAAACATTTTTAACCGTTTTTTTTTTTGTACGCTGCTCTGCTACTGCTACTGCCACTGGCGCTGCTGAGACTGAGACTGCGACTGCGAGTGTGACAGCGGGCTGGGCTGCTGGTTGAGGTTTTTGCTCAAAAACGTCGTCCAAGTATATATGCCATTGGCTGTTGGCAATTCAGTTTCATTAGCTCCGCGGCGCTCTCAGCTGACGGCATTACAGCAGCTTGAATCAGTTGGAAGTCCAGTCGTCCCACGGAAGTCCGTACAATGTGAGTTCGATGCAGGATATTAATGGACTTCAACAAGAAAATCCAGTTTAGCTACCACAGTGGCAACACCTTTGGCAACAATCTTTGGACACTATTCTGTCTCTGGAGGGGGCCGTCATGGAAAAATTTCATGCGAAATTTCATGGTGAATTTGTGCCACGAAGAAATACAAAACAAAAACTTCATCAAAACTATATAGAGTGTCGGTGTGTGCTGATGATCGCGTGTCGTGTTGTGGGCAATGTGTGTGATATATTACAGATTTTTAAGAAAGAAATTCAAAGGCAAAAATAAACCGTCAAAGTCGATTACAAACAGTACATACAAATCAGTTGTGCACAGAGCACGGGCTCTTTGAGGAGGACACACCTCCACGGACACTTGCCGTTGCAAACCTGAATCTGTCTCTGGAGACGTGCCCTCTTCGGTCTATTTTTGTCTGTCTTGGATTGTGCGTGTGTGCCGAGCCCAACTGTACAGCGGAGCCTGAGCCTATTTTTGGCTTGTCTATTTTCTATTTTTATTTAATTTACTAAAATTTGCATTTCAAATAATAACTGGTTTCGTTATTGGGGTGCGATTCATTGAACTGCGACCACCAATCTATTCGAAACAAATCTAAATTGCTTTCGGACAAGTGATCTTTTGTGCCTTGGCAACAAGCCGCAACTTTTTTGAGATAATCCATAATTAAAGGAGGATATCAACCGCAATGGCGATGGCCCGATCGGCAGAACTATCTAGGTGATTGTGCAAGTCAGCGTCGTTCTTTAAACGTATAAAATATTCAAATTTACTGTAGTTCATTATTCGAGACCGTTGGACGTTTGTTTGACAAATTAGCGCCCAATATTTCTCATTGTTTAGTGTTCTTTACTGGCATGCGCATGCAATTTATCGAAAAAGTGACATTGATTTAGCTTTATTGTCAAACGAGAAATATTTGCAGTCCTTACACAATATATTTCACGTTTTTCAGTGAGCTACGTAATTAAAGAGTGTACTTTTGTTTCATATATAATTACCACGTGCAAAAATGCAAAAATTCAATGCGAATTAGAGCTTTCGGCTATGAGAACCAAAATTCCACAACAACAATGATATAATCTACAACAATAACTGCTATTTTACTGGGTTCATTACATACTATATATATTTCGATTTGTTTGCCAGTTACGGTTCAATGCCGTCGTTGAATTCGCTTGCAGAATTCTATGCAAACAAAAGCAGAACAGAAACCCAAAAACACATCCGTCCCATAGGAGTAGAGGAGCGAAAGAAATAGAGAGGAGGGGAGGGACACTCGTGCTCGTAAACTACCAAACCATGTCAAGTGGATGACCAGCCACCAGGTCTTATGTAAATAGCACGCGTGCTGCGCATACCCATGCGAACTTTGGTTTACTTCACCTATATTTCGACTCATTAGTATATACCTGATCATAAAGCATTATGGGTGTTCGATTGCGTGTATTGTACTGTAAATCAATCAAATCAAAATTTATCATCCCCAACGATATTGCCGGAGTCCAGTAAGAATAGAGTCCACTCTGATTACGGCTAATTGACGATTAACCAGACTCTAATGATCGCGTTTACAAGCGGATGGGCTCTGTTATCGCATGGCCACATCCACAACCACATCCATCCACACACTTCCATCCTTTTATAATTCACTCGTTATGGCCCATAAATTGTTGTGCTGCTTTCATAAAGTCATTCATTGGCGGGAAGGGCAGTGCATGATGATGATGATAAGACGACGCGATCAAGATTAGACAGAAGAGGCTGACAAAACACCTACATACTCGTACTGGCAATCGTAAGAGTATCTGACAGAATTTTTATGGAGATATTGTGGTGTGCTGATGATTTGTTTCGGCTTTTAGCACTTTTACAAACCAGAAAGACTGTATTGAGCACACAAATTATAACTTGAGTAAATTACTTTCTTATGCAAGCAAAACATTCGGCTAAAGGCAATATCGAAGGTCGTTAGCAGGCTGCGTTCCTTGATCTGCTTGGAGTATAATGGAAGTGTCGTAGCTTTCAGTGCACGTATCGCCAGTCCAGTCTATACGGGTACGAGTATCACTGAGCTTGTGGTCACTGTTTTGCCATATTAGTTTTCCGAAAATTATCCATTCACATCCATGTCACGCCAGCACATGCAAATAGTTTGCCATTCAGGCGTTACCCAGCAGCTATGAAGTAGGGCCTATTATATAGGATTTTCCAATCAATAAAAAAAAAGCTGGCCCTTTCAGAACCAGCTGCTGTTTAAGCACCGATGTGATGGTGCTAATGATTGCGATAAGATGGCGCTTCTTTCCTTGAATTCCCTGAGTTCTTTTGAGAATAGAGAACTGATTGGCGGCCCGTTTAGATTGCTTATCGCGACAAGCATAAAGCTCTTATTGGCATTGCTCAGATCGATTAAACTTGTATTGGCCTTTGTTGATTTAAAGGAACAGTTGGATAATTATTGGAAAAACACAGACTCGAAATGGCAGATGAGGATTTCTGTGGTGTAGTACGGGGTGGGGTGGGGTGGTGTGTGTGCTAACCAGTTGGAAAACACCCTAATTTTGGCCCAAATGAGTTGTGTCGAAATATCTGTGTCATATCAGCAGGCGATAATTACGTTTTCTCCGCAACTCAAGTCAACAACTGTGCGAGACTTTAATTGAAACTCTTTTATAATGCAAGGCCCTATATGCATACAGTATAGTATAGTATATAGTATATGTACATAGTATGTACATATGTACGTGTAAGTGCACATGTTATGTACAGTATTGTAGAGCTTTCGCGCAAACATTTCCTTTGTGCGAAGTGAAGTGAAGGGCAGCTGTTTAAATGCTTCCCATTACCGGTAAAAACCTTTGCTTTGCTGTGACAAGGGGCGGCATTATTAAGTCTAAAACTATTTCGATAGCATCTGCCAAAAAGTTAAATTTTGTTAGAACAGAACGATCCGAATGAGAGTTGCATGTTGCGATGCAATTACACTATGAATTGGTCACTCGATTCTGATTCTGATTCCGACAACAAAGCCCGATTTCGACAATGCCATTGATACCCATCAAAAGCCTTCTCGAAAAATGAGCGCACGATCGGTTCTCGCATTTGATTTATGCACTTTTTCCAGTTCATAGCTCAATTTAACCGAATTGCAGCACTCACGTGCCAGCGGCTAGAGGCAACCGAGACGTGCTTATTAAATTTGACAAGTGTTCGATAAGCCCCACCACTGCACTCTCTACTGATACGGATTGCGAATATGTCAGGGTTTTCGAAGTGGAGACAACACATGTAACTAAGATTATCAATTTGTCAAGAGCTATTGGCCAATTCGCATTAAAAACTTGATAGACACGTTTGGGTCTCCTGCCATGAAGCAAAACTAAAGAAACAACATGGTATGGATTGGGCAACTTAAGACTTCTCAATGCTGTACCACTTTTTTGTAAGTCCAGGGAGTCCCCCATTATATTAGCCCCAAAAAAGTTGAACAAGCTTTTATCATAAAACTCTTCCTAACTGTTTTGCGCTGTTCTCTTTTCAGCTCTGACACCTGAAACAAGGCACAAAAGAGGCCATAAGAAAACAAGCCGAAATGGCCGTCATTCCGTGCTGTAAGTATCCCAAGCCAATAACCGAACGACAAAAATATTGCTACACGTTTTGATTCCGCGGAAGCACACGATTCATATGCGCATATGTCTCATCAATAACAATTCACTTCACGTGATGTGGATCCAGCGAAGTGAAGTCAAAATACCCCGAAAATCCCAATCGCAAATATTGAAAGTTGCGCATGCGCAGCTCATTAGATTGCTTCGTCAGGTGAAACAGACACAAACACACATAGTAGATATCTTATATGATCCGCTAATTGCTCTAATGCGCTGCTAGGGGCCTGTGCCGAAATTGAAAATTAAATAATGATCTGTCAATAAACAATATTTGGTGTCGTTTTGCAGTCTATGTGCCCAAGCGGATCAATGTGGCGATTATGCTCTTCATGGCCTGCCTCCTCAGCTACATGATGCGGGTGAATCTCTCCATAAATATAATAGCCATGGTGGAGGATACGAGCAGTAACGAGAACGGCACTGTGGAGGTTCTGCCCGACGTGAGTATAGGTTTAATCATTATCCCATTGCTTTTACATCATCGAATCCTTCTGTTCAGTATGGTCCACGCTACAACTGGACGCAGTCGGATCAGGCTCTGCTTTTGGGTGCATATTTCTATGGCTATATGATCACCTCGTTGCCAGCAGGCACTTTGGCCGAAATGCTGGGAGCACGAAACGTGGCGGGCTATAGCTGCCTGGTGGCAGGAATCCTGACAGCCCTGACTCCGGCTGCCGCTGCTTGGGATAAATACGCAGTGTTCGCTGTGCGATTTCTCATTGGGTTCCTCAATGGCGTTGTCTATCCCTGCTGCCACAGTCTGGTCTCCAAGTGGTCTCCGCCGGACGAGAAGGGAAAGTTTGTGGCCTCATTAATGGGGGGTACATTTGGTACAGTCATCACGTGGCCGATCAGTGGCGTTATCATAGAGAACCTCGGTTGGGACTGGGCCTTTTACATTGTTGGCATTTTCGTGCTGATTGTGGTTGCAGTGTGGTTCTATTTGGTGGCAGACACCCCGGCGCAGCATAGCTCCATAAGTCTCAAGGAGCGGGAGTACATTGAAAACAGTCTGGGCAACACTCTGAGCAATAAGAAGGTAACTGGGAAATCAATGTACAATATCAAAGGTACTCATACTCCTCGTGTTATAGAAATGGCCACCATACAAGGAGCTGATCCTGTCCATGCCGTTCTGGTCTTTGATGCTGCTCCATTACGGCAGCATGTGGGGACTGTTCTTCCTGATCACGGCCACACCCAAGTTCTTGAGCGAAGTGCTGGGCTTCAATCTGTCCTCCGCCGGTGTCCTGTCCAGCCTGCCTCATGTGGCCCGTCTGATCTGTGCCTTTGGATTCGGCGGCGTGGCAGATTGGATACGCCGCAGGGACTGGTGGACGGTTACAAAAATGCGAAAAGCATTCTGCTTGCCTTGTAAGTTCATTGAGTGAATGGGAATGGAAATCGTGAAATAATTTTTCCGTTTTCTGACAGCTCACATCTTGCCGGGCATTATGCTCATCATCCTGGCCTACTTTGGCCGCGATCCCTATGTTTGTGTGGCCATCATGACGATATCGCTGGGCTTCAATGGCGCTGCGACAGCCTCAAATTTGGCCAACTCCCAGGACTTGGCTCCCAATTATGCGGGCACGCTGTACGGCATCATCAATTGCATCGGAACCACGCCAGGAATCTTTTCGCCGCTGATCGTCGCTGCCTTTACCAAAAACGAGGTGAGTACATATAACATAATACTATGCATAGTACATTCTATAAAACCCAATAACACTTCTCATTCATTATCTTAGAACACGATCGATCAGTGGCACTGGATATTCATCATTGGTGCAGCAGCGTATATATTGCCCGCGCTGTTCTTCTGGGCCTTCGGATCGGGAAAGATACAAAAGTGGAATGAGGTGGAGACGACGGAGTCGCGCGAGGATATCGTTAACACAAAGTTATAGTTTGTGCCTCAGCGGTTGCCTGTTTGTATTCTTAGTATTAATGCCATTATTACGATGTATGCTTGTTAGCGGAGATTCCTATTAAAGCTTTATCTGTGTATTTATTATTACAAAATTTACAAAATCAAATCTTTCTCGATGTGAATCATAGCTCAAAATATACCAGAACTCGTTTGTCTCAGTTTGGCACAACGACCTTAAATTTGGCGCAGGGAAATCACCGTCCAACTGGTTGCGGTCCATTGCAGAAGTTAATTTAATTTTGCAGTCGATCAAAACTGACGCACATAATTAGTCAAAAGCTAATCAAATTCGAAGTCTGATTAATGATAATTAACGTCAGGGCTCTACAATGTTAGTGTGTCAAAATACAATCTCGATAATAAATTTCAAATTTCCTGCCAAGATAAGCTGAAGATTTGTATAGAACATAACATAAAATATTAAAAATAGATTCATCTGATAAACTAATAATATTCTGATGATTAATTATTTTTCCAAGTCTGGGCAGTATATCGTGATTAGAAAAATGTCTGCAAAGTTTATATTATCTTCTTGCTGAGCTATTTTTAAGTTTATGACTGTTGTCACCGACGATGCGGCAGACACCGAGGACGCGTCGGATAAATGGCCGGAAAATTCTCCACTATCCGTAGATAAGTCAAAGTCATCAGTGTCGTCGCTGCTGAAGTAGTAGGAATAAAGTTGTGTGGGCTGCGCGTGGTCGTCCGATTCCGCGTCGGTTTCCGTTTTTTCCGCTTTTAAATTTTAAATTCCGTCCGTCCGTGGTAACCATTTTTTTTCTGCATTTTTGCGCGGCGACGCCAAAACATAACGGATCTTTTGCCTAGGACTGCAGAATCGTTGGCAGAATCGATTCAATAGTATCGAAAGAATATTTTTATAAAATATATATATATTATATTTTATATTAATAATAATCAATTAATTGATTAATATAATTTATAATACTATAGTACGTTCTTATGGAGTACGTTATAGTAGAAAGTACTCTCCATAGTCGTTCTCGTCTGTTTTTAAAACAGTCGATGGGTGCGTGTCGTGTCGTGACTTGACTTGACTAGGGCTGCAAAACCAAATTAAATTTCAACTTTCAACTGTGGCGCCCGCGAAAATTTCAAAAAAATTTCGATCCGATCTAAAGTGCATGTGCTCGAACTGCAAGTAAATGGACAGTGATATGGATACGGCCACGGTACAGGCCAGTGGAACAGCACAGCAGCAGACGGCCACGGTGAAGCGCAATATTGAACAGCAGCCGCTGGCCAAGTGGCCGCTGCCAATTGCCATTTGGTACCCCCCGACAAGCTCAACATCATCAGCAACAAGTGTGTATTTAATCCAGTTCTTTGCAAGGAGCAAGGATATTTATCTTGGTTTCTTTTCCTTATTTTAGCATTCGGAGACAATGGCTCACTCTCGAGCACTGCTACCACAAGCAGCAACGACCGATGGGTATACCAGATGCACTGTCCAGGCCTCCTGCTGCGGCATCGCCAACAAGGAAATGCAGTACCAACAACCAGTTAGCGCAGGCTCCTGTGCCGGCAAAGCGTGGTAGGAGGAAGCTAACATCTAACGTTGCTGTTGCTGCTGCTCCAGCCCCCCACCGCCACTTCTGCCCAATATTCTATCTTTTTAAAACATTCCAAAAAGTTCCATTTGTGGATGACCAGTTAAGAAAATGTATTAACTATTTAAAGCGGCCGGAAATGTTGGAGGGAAAAATTAACTTCGTGTCTCACTTGACATATTTCAAGAACGAACCTTTTTTCATCATGATAGATGAGTATCATATCCCTCATATGGTAAGTGTTCGACTCAACCGTCTCCACCGCCTGATCCAGCTGCTTCGGCAAATTAAAATTAAATTAAAACAGCTTTGAAAAAAGGTTCTTCATATAATATTAACGAAATAGGGTATACCTGTTCAAAAAATCCGGTTGACGTGACATTCCACACTCAAGTTGCCACTGTTTTTTGTTGACCTTTTTTGCTTTTGTTTTCTACCCTATACAATAAAAGAGAGTACATAAAAGTAGTCAATCAGGTAGAAAATTATTTGGGCAGAGCTAATGTTTTTAGTTAGGCAGCATTATTCAATAGAATAAAGAAATCGAACAATTGGAACGATTTTTCTCTTACGTTTTATTACGTTTCATTTGTTTGACCTTTTTCGCTTAAAAACTTTATTTTCGAGAAAATACAATAAAAGCCAGTATTTATAATAAGCCAATAATGTAGAAAATTAATTCAATAATCGGATAAAATTAGGTCGACAGAGCTGAGGGTTCTATATAGCTAGTAATGCTCCACGGAATATAAAAATCGAGGAATATGGTTTCCAGTCCGCGACGGAGAACGATTAACCCATTATAAGCCAATGTGGTTTTTTAATATTCCATCGGAAATAATGAAAATTTAATAATATTAGCGCAGTTCCGGTGAAAGTTAGCGTTCTTATTTTTAAGTTCAGATGACAGATGGCATGAATCTACCAAAAGAATTTACAATTGTTAATATTCTCAGCCATTTACTTGAAGTCGTTGAACTATTTAAATAAAGGGGCTGAAGTGGGCTAAGATCGTTTTTTCATCATAACGAGACGCTATATTGTTGTTGAGAAGAAAAAACTGCAATCGCCGTAGCAAGAAAACAAGTCAAGTATTTAAAACAAACCAGTCAAGTAAAAAATTAATTTGTCAATCGTATAAAATGATTATAACATGGCTAAATGTTCTATATAGCTAGTAATATTCCACGGAATATAAAAATTGAGGAATATGGAAAATATAAATCAGTATATTTACGGTATATTTCTGAGGGTCGGACGGTATGTTTTAACGATAAATCCGCGGTCACACGATCACATGATTTGGTCGGTCATAAGTTTTCTCAATTTTTTCGTGCGAAGGCGAAAATTCTGTCCACCGTTTTTCGTTTGTAGTTTGAGTTGACTTTTCGGTTGGTTTTCTTGGTTTTTGTGTTCTCTTTTGTTCTTACATTATGCCTGGTTTTGTTTCCTTATTGTTTTCCCCCATTAAGTGCGTCGTTCCTGCGCTGCCAGCAAGATGTTGTGGAAATCGCTGATTGCATTGTGTTTCATTGGAGCAGCCTTGGCCGAGCAAACGCCCGTCTTCCTATGGGGTGCCAACAGGTGGGTCAGAATTGCGGGCCACAAGTTGTGTTGCTAATACCAAGTCCTTTCTCTTTGTACAGTGAGGCGAAGCCTTCGTTGAAGACTGTGCCCCAGGCGGAGTTTGCTGACCAGTTGGCAGCGCTGCTGAAAGATCACATGGTTGTGGCCTTCGAGGAAAATGGCGTAAGTGCTGCACGTGAAATGGCTGATAGCAGAGTTTAGTTCTTAATGCTTTTTCGTCTGACTGCAGCTGAGCACCAAGGACTTCCTGTGCTCAAATTCCCAGTCGCAGTCCTGCTACGCCCAGCTGCAGGGCGTGAGTCCCAAGACGTATTACACCAGCGTGGAGAATCCGTCGGAGGCCCTACGCTCGGTGGCCGCCAAGCGGGAGCACAACAGCATCGATGCCAGTGGTCGGTTTGCGAGCCCGGCCAAGTGTTCCGTGGGCACCGCTCTGTTCGTCAGCTTCGAGGATGACGAAGATACCCGCGAGGCTGTCCTGGAGTCACATGGTTTGTACACAGATCAGTTTGCGAGTGAGAATGGGTGCTAATTTCATTGTGCTCTTCGACAGACTCTGCCATTGCCGCTATCAGCAAGCAGTTTGAGTGCAAGGTAGCTTATCTGTACCTGGCCGCACCTTCCACCGCCCCTGTGGTGCACCGTCGCACGCGCCGTGACACGGCCGCCACCACCGGAGGCACCATGTGGGTTTCGGGCAATCAGTTTCGAATGTTCTACACCAGCGTGTCGTACAACGGGGTCCCCTTCTCGGTCAACTCTATCAGCATCGTCAACGGAACTACTCCCGCTACTCAGTTCTCCGTTAAACTGGCCACTGCCGATGCGGACAAGTCACTCACGTTCGATGTTGTTTATAGCGATGGCGGCTACTTTAGCCTGACCAACGTGGCCTACGCCGGACAGACCTTCCGCAGCACTGGCATCATCAATGCACCCACCACTTTCTCCTACGCCTGCGGAAACCTCACCCTGGAGACGGCTGCCGTTAATGGACTGTACAACAGCCTGAGCTTTAACTCGCTGCAAATTCAGGCTCCGTTCAGCAGCATCTACAAGGAAGGCTTCGTCTTTGGCGACTCCTGGGACTGTGTGGGCTTCGTCTCGCCTGCAATTCTGATGGGTCTGATGGTAGTTGTCATTTTGCTGGTCATCATATTCATTGGCATCTGCTGGATGATGGACATCAACACGATGGATCGCTTCGACGACCCCAAGGGCAAGACAATTACGATCAATGCCGGAGCTGAGTAAATGGCAATTATTTGTCATAGTTTCACTCGCCATTTCTTTGTTCAATCAACGATATTCATTCCTTTCCTCCTTCAGTCTGTCCATATATGGATATTTACGAATCAATACTTAATACCGTAACCATACAATCATATAATCAGGAAATTAGCAATCGCAATTTATGTCGTATTCATAATTTTCTCCGGCAAAGATCAGCCTGCGTTCAGCATCAATACCAACCGCGGCTGGCCTTTGCCGTCGAAAATTGTCTGGGATGAAGAGTCCCGAGAGAGTTTTGCTTGCAACGACTGTGCAACCAGTATTTCGTTTAGTGTAGCCCATAGATCGAAACCAACTACGACCCCACCCCCCATGTGTGTGTGCCCCAAGGGAGTACGAGTGTGTGTGTGATTGCCACAAGTCGGTAAATCTAAACTTGAATATATCTAAGTGTTTTATAGTTACTTGTTTCTTGCGCAAATACGGGAGTGAACATAATTTATGCCTCTGTATGATAGTTTATCATTTGTGTAACGCTCCTCCTGTTCGCAGGCCCAGCGAAAATAAAGTTTTTTTTTCAATTGTGTTACAAACATGGAAAGTTATTTCGAGCCCTGGTCGATGTTGGAATACTCTTTTGAGGCAGCATTTATACAGGGACTACTCTGGCCTTTGGCTGGGTGTTCGAATATTTTACATATGTACATATGTTCGTGCATACGTTTTTTGTGCCCCCACAGAAAGCAATTTCAATTGCATTTTCTCTGCAAAAAGTCATAGATACAAATCAAAAGTTTAATGGAAATTTATTGAGTTGCCATCGACGGGGCTTCAACTTGCCCCAGCGATGCCTATCTCCCGTTCAGCCCCTTGACGGGGCAGACATGGGTGCAATGGAAAGTTTCAATTCGAAAATAGTTTTCGCTGCAGCAAAGGAAACACTTTTCCTCGACTGCACTCTGGGCTCTCGAGCGACTTTCATTAAGTTGCTTGGCAGAAAAAGGAGCCGGATCGGGGGCGGGGCGTGGCAGGAAGAGCAAAAAGCATTGTTTATGACATTTTAATCTCTTGTTTATCCGCTTGACTTTTCCACTTGCTGGAAAAGTGCTGCAGTCGCCGCCCGCCCCTGCAGCCTCTTCCTCTCTCTCGCTCTCTGGTCAAGGCGTGCGTAAAATAAACTGTTAGGCAGGCGGCGCAGAAAGTATGCTACGGCTGCAAGGAGTGGGCGCTGCTGGGTGCTTTCGGAGCTCCCTGAGGCAAAAGGGCACAGTTGACTGCACCGAGAGTGCCTGGCAGGCGCCTTAGCGTTTTTGTTGCATTAGAAACAGGTCAGTGCGTCATCCACATAAATGAGCATATGACCCGGCCGGAGCGAAACGGAACAGAGCGGGGGCAGGGAGTCGCACTGCCAGTGCAACGCGGTCCAAAAACTTTTGCCTCGCCTGGTCGCCATGCCATAGTCTACTCTGGTCTGAAGAGTCTGTAGTATCCTGGTCTGGGGGCCATGAAAAACAGTAATTATGCATAAGTCAACACGCGGCATTCGTAATGAACTCCACTCAAAGCGGAACGAGAGCTCTCACAGAACCGCCACGAACACAGCTCGGAAACTTTTTGGCAGCCGAAAATGTCGCCAACTTGCCAGCTGCCGAAAGTTTCTCGACCAGCCCCCAAAAGCAGCTAAGTACGGATCCGTACATATGGATGGGGTGCATAAGCCAGGAGCCTCCTGCGGCTAGCAGCATGGGGCCCGGCCCTGGCTCTTCGTTGCTCCACAGCCCCAGGCCGTAATAAAACCAGCGGTCTACAAATTGCAGCATTAGACAGACTCAGAGAGGAAGGGGTACCAGAGAAATGGGGTGAGGTAATGGGAGAGAGAGAGAGAAGGACTCTGTCCAAGTTTTGGAACACATGTTTTGCTCATCAGCCAGTAAATGCAGCCAGTGCAGTCGGGAAAGTTGTTGGCCATTTCTTTTTTTGCCATTAAGCCCACTGTAGAGTGAAAATCATTAGGCCAACTGATGAGAGGAGCTCAAAGAGAAGACATCGGAGAGGGGAGAGAGTTAAGAGCTTAAGCCAAACACAATAAAATCGCTTCCAGCCTGTTAATGATGGCATTTGTGTGCAGTCCGGGAGCTGTCATCACTCCTCCTGCCCCAAAGTATCCTCCAGACCTAACCTGACGCTCTTGCCATGCCCCCCGCTGAGCAGCTTATCAGCGCTAAGTGGATGTGGAATGTAGGTTGCGGGGCATGTTCAGCTAATAGAGGTAGCGTCTCCGCGGCAGCATCGAGGGAGGATGGGAATGGGAGCGCTGGCTAATGAAGTCATTTGTGACGCTGCTTTGGATGGGACTGAAAGGGGCTGCGGCAAGTGGTCAAAGGATGTGGAGCGAGTCATGGTATAGAGCTCTCTGAATGGTCATGAATGAATGAGGGGGAGAATGTGCGAGTACCCATAAATGCACTCCCAACAGTTTTTTGGACAAGGTCCGGTGAAGCTCCGAATCGATACCTGTTTAGACTATCAACTTCAGTGAAGATATTCTAACATTTAAGTAATTTACCCAACATCAATCTGATTGTGCCCTCAAACCACAGGCCACTCATTAACCCTTAAGCCGACAAATCACTCTGAAAATTCAAGAGACTTGACCTCAAATTATAAGCAATCGAAGTAAGCTAGGGAATGTGCCAGCCAGGGACATGGCTCCCTGGACACGGAAGCTGAGGGCGAAGCGTGGCCAATTCCTCCACAGAATGCTTGCACTGTGGTCAGTGTGGGAGGGGGGTTGAGTCGGGATCGGGGTCGGACAGAAATTAATTACTTGTCATTTTTAACAATTGGGCGTGACAAGGGAAACGAAACGTTGGTAAACAGAACTTCTGTATGCGGGTGTCCTTCTGTGTAAATGAACCAAGAGTACGGGAAACGTAAGGGGGCAGGAGAGGTGGGAGTAGAGACAAAGGATAAGAGAAGAGTGGAGTGCAGTAGAGCTTAAGCCGGCAGCCATGACAATTGACAAATGATGTTGGCGCCGTGTGACGTGTGACAGATAAGTGCCGAAAAAGGTTTACAACTTTTGTCGAATCTCATTTATTATTGATGTCTGAGTGTCCAGAAGTTCCCTTAAGGCTTAAATGGAATCAAATTAAAGCGGCTGAGGACCAGTACCACCAGTACCAGTGCCAGTGCCAGTGCCAGTGCCAGTCCCTGCTCCCCGCCACTAAGGCCACATTTCAGATGTAATTATATGCAGGGAATTAGTCCGAGCACAGCTCTTCCATCGCTCCTACCATTTACCCACTCGGCCATTGAAGCGTTCAAAGCACAGGCTTAGCGTGTAATCCCAGCCATGCAGCTCAACCACTGACCTGTAGCTGTACCTGTACCTGGACCTGTACCATGAAATTAATTAGTCCTCTACGATTGGGCCTGCTCATAGAAGTGCCTGACAGGCAGGGGGCGCGGGGCGCGGCGGGGGTTGTTCACCAACGGAAGCTGTGCAAATTGCTTAGCAACTGAACCCGCCCATGAGATTAAAATGGAACGGAGCCAGCAATGAGCCAATTACGAAATAGTGCTAATGGAAAGACAGATTTTGTTTCTTACAGTTTAAAGATTATCCTTTCATATGAAGGAAAAACTTTGCAGGTGCCTGCATTTTAAAGAGCAACGTGTACGCCTTTCCCATCCGAGTAAGCCCATGGATTTCATTCAGGTTAAATACGTTAACTGTGTGATTTCTGATAAGGATTCTCCTATCTTGCACAAAGTATTACCCCATCCCAAAGCCGATTAGCTTTCGTATCATCGAGGACAACTCCCGAAAAGAAAAGGGAGACCGGATGAAGACACCGAGGCAGTCGGCACCACGCGTGTGAACACATTGACAGCTGTAAGGAGATATATTTACACACATCTGCGCCCCTCCTCACGCTCCACCGTCAACTAGATCAAGTGCATTTTTATGTAAATGTATTGTGTGGCACGGCACAGAAGCCGACAAGCTCGGATTTGCATAGTCCGTAGTCCGCTTTCGATTTCCAGAGAAATCGGAATTGAAAGCAGCCTCTGCTCTTCATATTACTGCTTACTTTCTGAAGGGACAAAGACGTTGACGGAGAGTCCTTCTTGTATTCCACCACCGCTGGGATTATTGATTGAGTGAGAATAGCATGGACCACATCTGTTGGCAAATCATATTCAATATATTGTTTGTTCTTTTACGGGGGCATACGTACAACACGTACGTATCTTCCTTTGCCTATTTTTCCTTATTCGCTGAAGGCACTGTTGTCTTGAATACCCCTTTGTGTTGAATTTGTAAAGGTATTATGATTTTAACCAGATGTTTGCAATGCAAAGAATAAATCGTTTTCAACTCAATAAAGTACACATGTGCAAACATATTCGTCCGTCACGAAACTTAACTCTGACATGTGTACTATACATAGGACCCTTTTGCTGCACATACAACATTACAGTAAGGTACAAGATACGATCACGATCAGCAGATTATAGTTGTTAGGCAAATTATATCGAAATGTAACATTTTTCCTCCATGGGCGTGTGTTTGTGCCGGTACGGCACAAGTAACATTTATTTGTAGCTTATTTGTATTTGATTTACATTCAAGCTCTTACAGAGCGTCTCAATGTTCAATGGTCGTGGTGGGTGTTGAGCTACGGAGCTTTCAAGGTTCAAGGGCAGGCGTCCGAATTGCCTATGCAAGCGAGAGCGCGACAGATCGAGAGAGCGGTAGAGAAGGCGAAGGAAAGACGAGAGAGAACGGGAGCGTATGTATGCGTATGTATGTATGTATGTGGATTATAATGTGGTAGAGTGGGCAGTGCAAACAACTCTGGTGCTGCAGCACTGGCTATGATCGATGGCCTATTGGTTAATATTGGGCTGCGTAACCAACTTAAGAGTTTAAACATAATTCATTTACAAGTGTGCTTCATTTCAAGTATGTTTCTGATGGGAATTGAATGAGACATGACCAAGGCAACTGTATGGCCTGTATATGCGTTATGCCTGCATCCCCCCTTCTGTTGCAACAATTGTTTTGTTTTGAACATTTGATTGCATTTGGCCCACTGACTCCGATTTACTCTCCTTACTCCGCAAAGGGGGCTGAAGCCATTGTTGGCCAGAAATGGAAGCCGAACTTTTGCGCAACTTAATCATTGCACAGGATCAGGGGCCAGGAGCGGAGTCTGTCTGTTTCCTGTAGTCCTGCAGTCGCACTCGTACCTTTCCGTGTGGATACATTGTAGCCACAAAAGTTTTCACATTAAAACCGTTCCTGGCTGGCAAATTGTGAAATGAGTTAGCAGCACTCTCTGGCACTTTCCACCCCCCTCCCCGCCCGTCAGACATTCTCCCCGCACTTCGACACTCCTTCAGCCAGAGGGTATCCTTCGAAAAGTAAAAGTTGGATTCTGTGAACGGGTTGGATGGGATTTATTATCTTCACTGCGTAAAACCTTTTGCTGCCATAGAATGTTAAATTATATTTTTACCATTTTTGGGAATTAAGCAGCAATTTGCAAGAATTTCTTCAGAACTAAATAATTGATATTGCATT